AATCTCTGCAATTGTAACAGAATTGAAGATGAAACTCACTTTTTATTAGATTGTCCAAGTTTTTCTTCCATAAGAGATATGTTCTTCTCTAAACTAGATCCTAAAATACCGTTTCTGCGACTACAATCACATGAGTCCTTATTATCACATCTGATGAATTCTCCTGACTATTTTATTAACATCCAATTAATTTCATTTATATCAACTTGCTTTGAATTGAGAGACAAACTTATCTCCGGAATAATTAATCCTACTGATGGTTAGAAATAAACAATGATTGATAAGTTTCAAATTATTTTAAATGTTTAATTTACAAGGAATCAATAAGTAATTTCAAGTAGCTTTTGCAATACTGTAATACTTTGTTATGGTCATGCAAATAAAGCTTATTGTTGTTGTTGTCGTCGTGTGACCTTTCTCTCTGATTTTGCCATGACCGGGGTGATAGCCTTGAACGCAGCCATGATTTCTCTTCCACTGTCAATGATCTGACAAGCCGGCAGGATGAATCCACTTTCGCCCCCATTATCCGCAGATTCAGATGGCCTTAGTTCTATTGTATACGTGTGAGTGACACCCAACCCGTCGTATGTGTAATCCACTGTATCGCCATATGCAGCATCTGAAAAATTCAGTACTACTAAGTCAAAATTTACTTTAACGAAACACAGTAGGACTGAATGAACCTCAGTTCGGTCTGTCACCATAAGAGTAATTTTTTTAAAGGTCCGATTAAATGAGAACAACATGTTCAGCCTTCCCCTATACATGTAAACCCGACATGCCGCACTCGTTAGGCAACTATGTTACACGACTGACACGTCATGTTGCCGAGAGCATGAACTTGAATGGGTAGAACAAAGCTTGATTTTCATCGTTCAACATTATTTTGTTGTTGTTGGTTATTTGTTTTTTTTCTTTAACCTAGGTCTGAACGACAATGCTGAATTTTATCATTGCCGTTTTTCAGTATTACTTACAAATAGTTGAATAAATTGTTCCGAACTCAAACACTCTTCCAGATGTGTTTCGTATTGCCTCTGTGCCAACTTTCATCACACGTCTCTGTGGTGGAGTCAAGAGAAATGAAGAAGAATTAGCCGAAAAATGAAAAAGAAATCTTAGTTAAAGTTTCATTCTCTAACCACCGATGGAAACTGGTTTAGGATAAGCAATTTTAGAGAGTTCGAACGTACCGCGGCGTAAGATAACAAGCACAAAACAACAGCCTCTAAGTCTTTCTACTCACCATTAGACTATAATCAGGCGGTGTGCCATTTTTAGACGACCAAGGAGAACACCAAACTTGTGAATAAGAGTGTATGTCGAAGAAGGAGATTAATTGTGGTGCACTTCTTTTAAGATGAGCTACTACGTTTCGAGTCTCAATCTCACTTAATGGCTCCTCTCCAGGATATGTTTCACAAATCGGGTCACTGATGCACTCATTCAACCCTGTAAATAACAATAATTTGAATACTAGACTTACAACTTAACAAAGCAAAAAAAAATCCAGAAAAAAATGAAATTGAAACAACTGATTAAACTGCAGACAGCATGCCAACGGCCCGGAGTGTTAATTGGAAGTTAAAGTTCGCAAAATCCTTGCCATGTCGGAGAGATTCTCAGCCAGCGCGTAGTCTAAGGCTCATCTCCGCCGCAGTTCTTGAGAATATCGAACTGGTCAGTTCCTACCAAATATAAATCTTAGCCTTAGCCCATTTACACCGCGGACATACAAGGCTTGTACTAATAACGCAGCTGAGGCTAGACCCGTCCTTAGCTGAAAAAGCTTACGGAACGAAATTGGGACGAGAATGATTAGGAAACGATTTCTAGCCCCAAGGGAGGGACAGAAGGGAAACGGTTGTTCTTTTCCTAATCCCTTGCTGCTGAATGTTAGTTTAATACGAAAAGTTTAATACGAAAACGTTCGCTTGGATCTCCTGATTATCAGCCGGTGCAGGGGCGGATCCAGGATTTTTTTTAGGAGGGGGTGCACTCGTCTTTTGCTCTACTTCAACACCAATAAACCACTTAGTTTTTTTTTGCAGTATACCAGTTGTATTAGAAAACCGCAGGTCATCTCAAGGGGGGGTGGGGTGCGCACCCCCTGCACCCTCTCCCTAGATCCGCCCCTGCGGTGTGTAGGCTTATACGAGCAAAAGAGGACTGCAAGCGGTCTAAGAGTACAAAACTGATCTTAAAAAAACTTTATTGCCAGCCTTTTATAACCCCATTAAATTTAGTTCTTTTAATGATCAGAAATAAGTGAAAATGCGCACCCCAGTATTCATTTGGAAAGTTCCTGTTTAAGTCCACGCCAACTATTGGACCAGAGCTGGTGAACAGAATCGGTCTGCGGTTTTTTCGCCAAAGACGGTCCACCTGTTGGAAACAAAATCTTTTGAGTTCAAAAAACTGAGTAAGACTTTTAAATTACAGAGCCTGGCGATACCCGGGGGAGGGGATTAACACTCCCTTATACGGCCTAAACGGGTATGTGCCGCTGATCAGGTTATGTTCTTCAGCGATTTGGAGATTTCATCAGGGTTTGTAATTTCAACTTTTAGGGTCTAGCACATGGTTCTTTTTCGACTGGACTACTTTGAAGGGGTGTGAGGGATGTCGGTGAGCGGTCTACATGTGTAGCACTAACAAAACAGTCTCATCTAAATCCATGATGTTAGTTTAAAAAGCGTACTTAATTCTGCATAGGAAAGAAAGAAATTAGCTATAGGGTCTTGAAATAAACTCTCTTGTCTTAAACAGCGTTGCCAAATGGACGATTTTTGTCTTAAACAGGGTCAGGATTGAAGACCTCAGCAGCACAACTCGACCCAGACTTCCCCTGACTGTCCCCGGTCCCGAGCACCAATCAAACTTCAATGCTCTCGGCACACAGCTCTGCTAGTTCCTAGACTGTTTGAGGCTTTCCTTAAAGCTCGACAAGAACAATGCGAAGCAAGGGCTGTGAGATGGGGGAATTCCCTTCTTCATCAGAAAATTAACATGCACTTAGATCACTATTGATAATATTCGTTGTATTTCTTACCTCCATTGTAAAACTGTAGCCATCTACATTATAAACCGGCAGGAAAAACCAGTTAAATGTATTCAGCATTTTTGCTATTCCCTCATCACTGTCTGTGGATTTCAGAAGCTAATATCCAAAGGAAAAACGCAAAAACGTACTAGTTGTAATATAACTTAAGGCTCCTTTTCTTCTGACATGACATTTTACGTAAAAGCCTATGAGACTAAAGTGTGATCAAGCAAAGCTGCAGCTCTAAGAAGGAATGAACAAACGGTCAGATGGCCTGACAAACAGCGAACGAACGAACGAATGACTGAACGAACGCCCACGAACGGACGAACGAACGGACAAACGAACGAACGAATAAACGAATGACTGAATAGATTAACAAGCGGGTGAACGGATAGGTAAATAGATGGATAGATCTTCATTCAAGGTAATCACGGTGGCAAGCAACACTCCTTGGCTCTTGCGCTTGAATGTCAGTGCTAACAAGTTAACAGATTTGAGACTAATGATCTCAATGCAAATTTCATCTGTGGTGGCGTTCTTGTCGATCTTAGAAAAAAAGACGAATGTACTGTACACTTGATCTAAGGGTGGATTTCCACTGTCACGTTATTTTTTTCTTGCGCACATGGGTTAAAATACAATAGAGGCCTTTCATACGTCACCTCTATTTAACGCGCGTACGCATGTAAAAATCAGTCCGCAACAGTGGAAATCCACAATAACTCAGAAATAAAGCTACGTAGTAGAATAGGTAAATTCTAGTCTACTTACCTGACGTAGCATGTACATACACGTAGCCGGACTAATCCATTCTCTGGCGTGAATTCCGCAAACTATGAAGACTAAACCTCGCTCACGAGCATTGTGAGTCTTTTGTTTAATCTGAGAAAAGAAGATAAATCCAAACTTACAAACCAAGGCCGAGTTGTTTGAGTTCCGGTGACCTCTATTTCTGAGTTAACTATGAACAGTTTATTTGCCACTTTACAAACGAGAAGGGGACTGGAACACTGCAAATGCTCCTGGCATTGTTACTGGTGACGCGCCGGACAGCTATTCGGCCAATCCCCCCCCCCCCCCCCCCCCCCCCCCCCCCCCCCCCACCCCCTCCCCTCCCGCCCTGCCCCCCCTTCTCTCCCCTTTCTTTCTTTTATAATTCTAAACTCTATGGTTTTCATTCCTTTTTTCTTCTGTTTTTTGCTTTTCTTCTCCCCCCCTCCTTAAACAAAGCGGGGTGTTTTTATTGCTGCGTTCCCGTTTTTTTTGAGTAATATAAAAGAATTTTTTTTTCCCCTTTAAAAAAGGAAGGGGGGCGGGAAAAACAAAAATTCCCCCGCTTTTTTTTTTGGGGGGGCCCGGCAAAACTTTGCCCCCACCCCCCCCCCCCCCCCCCCCCGTGCCTAACAGTCCCATAAGTCTTTGCCAGGTTGACTTGGCCCAATTTACGTCTCGTTTATTAAGTGGCAAATACTAAACTGGTTGGTGGTCCATTTTCTGCTACATGTAGCTATCATTACCTTAGCGGCCCCTTGTTCCTTCATGCTCTGACCACCATTAAGTACAACCCCGGGATCCGATGCTTGTGAATAGCTAATGGCTTGCCTACAAGGGGAAGGGGTACACGGTGTAGGTGCGACGACTTCTGGGATTGTTTGAGTGGACAAGCGTCACTTGTGATTGGTTAATAGTTGTCTTGAATATCATCGACCAATCATAACTAATGCTTATTAGCCAGAAATCGCTGTACTCAAAGATTGTAACCATTCTCCCTTGAGTTTCTTAAGTGGGCAATTGTTGCTCAAGATTGAATTAATTGTTTGAGTTATTTTCTGGATTCCACTAGCCTTTCCGCTCAATATAAGTACAGCCAAGGTCACACTGAACTCACCTGTATCCCTAACATATTTCGTTTCTCATAAGACTTGCCAAGGTTTATTAACTTCACCAAGTCTGGGTAGTTTTTCCTCAAACGAAACAGTTCATCATGGATCTGTAATTGAAAGGAAAAAAATTGGGTCGAGTGAATTCTCATGAAATCTGTTTGAGTTTATTTTTTTAGAGCATGGACTGAATTTTATGAGCTGAACACTCATGCATGACAAAGCACTGAGCACTGTGGCGTTGCTCAGTTTTTTTGCTGTGTTAGAGGAGCTTATGATTGAGTTTTTTTTAAGTTTAAGGTGTGGCGATAAGATAGAAAGATTCTAATCGGAGCATTTTTGATACTAAGTTTTTGATTAGAGGTAGGATTGTAAAACAATTTAACCAAAAACAGATCCAAACATCCCTGTTAGGTACAGCTGTCTTGGTCCCATACTGAGATACAAAGCTTCCTTAAAATCCCGGGCAGTCTTTTGGTCACCAAGATACATACATATACATACAATCAATACGAACAACTCTGTGTGCAGAAGACACGTCGCTCCGTCCCTTTGCTTTCGTATCAACCCTTTCAGCTCCAGCAGTCATTATTACCAAAGTACGCTCATTGCTTAATCAGTTAGGGTGGTTAAGAGAATTAAGAACATGATCACTAGCTTAGGATTAGTTTTTATGATATTTTATCAATGTATTTTGATACTGGGGCTTACAGAGTTAATTAAAGGAGGTTTGACTGGATCAGTACCTCACCCACTGTATGATAACAGTTGTCAAAATTATCTTCATCCCTTTCTGCACAGCACAAGCTCTCCTTGTCTATCAGCGCTTGTATGTCGTCAATCATTATCTCAAACGCAAGACTTGTTTTTGTTAGATCTGCCTTGAAACCTTCAATAGCATCAGGACTCAAATGAATATGAAACTCCTCCCCCGGGATCAAAGATTCTTTCCATACATCTACCTACATATGATCAAAATATTCAGGAGGGTATATGTCACTTGCAAAATCTATCTACCGTGCGTACTAACAGATAGGTCCGCAATGTGTCCACACAGTATGTTACATTATAGTCCACTTGCACTGAAGAACAAGTGACTTCAGCATATAGTTTGACAAATCATATCGGTGATGAAAGCTCCGATATTTAAGGATAACCAGAAACGGTGAGGGGAAAATCCCGCTTTGTTTTTTTGCTTAATTCTTTCAATGTGAAGAAGGGTAAACACCAATTTAAAGCTGTAGAGATTTTGGGTGGCCCACCTTTCAGCGACTATTTAGGTGAGTAGAAGAGACTAAGCGATTTAAACTAGAAAAGTAGATAACCTCTGCATAGACGACAGCCTCCATCGTTAAGAGCAATTAACAAACTAGGTTTGTTGATAAGGAGATCACATTATTTTAATACTAATTCAGCAGAATCTTTTTTAATTTTATCAGTCTTTTTCAAGCAGGGCGCTTTGCGCTCTTCCCACTGTTTGAGCCAAAACACAAAAAAACGCCCTACGTTTTGCACTTACATCTTTTCGGCTTTGTAGTAGTTCTCTCATAGATCTTACTTGGTCCTCATTCTGTGGTTGCACTCGTAAAACCTTGTGTCTTAAAAGACATGTATCGTAGTTACAAAACGATAAGGCAAAAAAACGCTTTGCATCACTGAATATCTTGAGATATTTAGGGTTTATTTAAGAATCTTTGTATTATCCTCGTTCCAGTGAGGGACCTGTCCGTTCGCCTTGGTGTTGTTCATAGGCGCTTTTCCCGACCAACCTCCCCCCCGCCCCAAAAAAAAAAAAAACTTGGAAAAGTAGCATTAAAATTAATTACTACGAAAATCAACATTGTGACATTTTGAAGTAATATTGATCGAAGTTGCATCAGCGAGATGGGGCTCGTTTTTTTCTAATTTTTTTTATACCCACGTAGAGTATGATCCAGAAACCAGAGTCGAGTTTAACGTTTCCTCAATACTTTTGAAATATCTAAGAAACGAATAATTTGTCATTCAGAGATGCAGTAGACATCACAACTTGTCGTCGGATGTATGATAAGCCGATAGAAGCGAGCAGAAAATATACCAATGCCCTTAGCAACCCAGGGGTATGAAAGAAGAAAATTTTTTTTTTTATGAAAGAGATCAAGAAAAATTTTCTTCAAAAGAGGATATACTAAGATTCTTTACGAACTGTCTGAAATCAAAGATAACACTTCTTCTTGCTCTTTTTTAAGTCTAAAAACTAAAGCTTAATTTTTAGAGGAAATGATTCCCATCTCATTTGCTTTTTGTAACTCCGCTCAATATACCTTCAAATGTTAGATTGCTAATCCTGAATGTATTTCAAGGATGCTTTTCACTCTAATACCAATGTAAGTAAGGGACTGATTTAGGGCGTTCGCTATCGTTTTAAGGGCAGATTTTCGATTAAATAGACGTTGCATTTTAATGACATAATGTGGAACCTGTGGGAAAAAAAGAGCATGAAAAGGGGAAAAATTATTTTTGTAGGAATTTTTGCTTTTGTGGGACTGTACAATATTAGGATCTCCTCTAACACAGGTGTGACTTCGACTCCAATCATAATTCCCTGTAATGATACAAACAACTTCTTAGCAGCAAAACAAGTATCATTATTGGAGTATTGGTAAACTCCCTTTTATTGGTTGGGTTCAGCATGACTGCTTTGTTGAAGATCATCATTAAAAGGACCTGGATGAGGGAGAGATAGCAACAACATATATTCGTAACCTGCAGAGAATATAACTCCCTTTAAATTTGTATTAAGCGGATAGCCACCCTTGTCTGTTCAATAGAGTTTCCGTTAAATACAAGTTCATGTTCGAAAACACTCAGTGAACGACTCACTCTCTGCCGGCTCTCGCCTGTAAAATACAGAACGTCTCTAGGTTTATAATGGATCCGCTTAAAACAGGCTTCACTGTATGTGAAAAAATACGTCGATATAAATCGTTAAGGAGGAAAAAGATCTTGGAACTAAGTTGGCGCTAAATGCATGGTCTTCAATACTTCATCACTTCTCTTACCCATGATACAGCCGTTTACTGTGACTTTGACAGAGGGAGATGATAGCGATGGTCGCTAATATGGCCAATCTAAACTGGAATACGCTTAATCCTTCTGATTTCATGGCAAGCAAAAATGTATAGGTTTTTTTTCCAGATAAGTCCTTGCCGGCCGCTACTTTGGCAACTGAGACTAGAAGTACTGAATGAATTCCCTGAATAATTTGTTGTAATTATTCAGTTGAATTACGCATCTAGAAAATTGGTACTGCCCATTAACAAGTTCAAAATTAAATCACGCCAGTATGCGATACCATGGTTGACCAGCAATTAAATTCTCATGATATAAGTAAAAAAAAATTCATGTTACATGGATTGGAGAATACCATAAGCTAAAAGCTCAAAATAATATAAGTTATTAGTCTCAAAATTGTGAAGTTTATTTAACAATTATTCACCAAAGTGGTGAAGTTCGAGAGGCTCCACTATTTTTATCTTTAGCCATTAGTCTCAACTTCAATGATATGCTGCTTTCCGAACGGGCAGCTGATAGGCTCCCTCAGAGGTTAATATCCTTCGAATCCTTTGCTACATAGAAATATCTTGTGTTTTGTTATTTTTCAGTAAAAAGCCTACTACACTAACTTTATCAGTGTTTCAAAAGGCTTTTAAAAACTGTTTTAACATTTTTATCACTAGTGGATGCCAGTTATCTTAATGTTTAAAATTATACTCATGAATTCTTTGAAAATTTAATATTACTTTAAATAACTTAAAAGTCATTTATTTGTTTTATTTTGAGGCCTTAAAATGTCGTGATGTGACTCATGATAATGCTCTATTGTGACGTAAGTTTTCTTCTTCGTTTGACCTTTCTCACAGTTTCTGCCATGAGCGGAGTGATGATAGCCTTGAAAGCAGCCATAATTTCTCTTCCACTCTCAATGATCTGACAAGCCGGCAGAATGAATCCTTTTCCCGAAAACCCATCAGCAGGGGGCCTTAGTTCTATAGTATACGAGTGAGTGACACCCAGAGTGTCATACACATAATCAATTGTACCACCATATACAGGGTCTGAAAAACGAAAGATCACACTTTACTTTGATATCGGAGCCCCAAAGCAAAAAAAATTTGGTTATCTATTCATCCGAGAAACTTGATAGTTACGTGACCGTACGTACGTAGTCCCACAGGCAACCAATGTGAAATCTCACATTTTCTAGCTAGTGTGATAGCCTGCAACCTAATAATGAACATCTATGTTGTGGTCAATTGACAGCTGTCAAAGCAGGGTATCCGCTGACCAGTATCATGATATACGCGTCCTTTTTGATTGCAAACAGCAAATCACTACTAAATATTAAAAGCAGAAAGCATCCCACGTAATTGTATTTAAAACGAAGTCCGTACAAAGTTATTTTAGGTGGAATCCGTGCTAAACACTCTGCAAGTTCTCTGAAAGTCTTAATTTGCAATTTTTGTTTATCCTCCAACGCCTCGCTTTCATGACTAGGCACCAGTTTTTTCCCGCGTGTCCGCCATTTGTGAATACGGTGTATAAATTTATTAAAGGGAGCTTTGTTTTTGACCTTAGTAAAATCTGTATATCAAATGAAGGAGTAAGTGAACCCTAGTTCCGTTCGTAATTATAATAATGGTAATAAAAAGTTATCCCAAAAAAGTCTCACTTGAAGATGTGGCCTGCGAGCAGGATTTCTTTTTTTTTTTTCGTTTTGAGAGTAAGAGGGCGAAAAAGAACCTTCCTTCATCACTGCTGGAGTAGCACACACTTGCCCGATGATGCAAGTGATGATGACTTTTCTGCTTGTTTAAAAATGCATAAAGATGACAGAAGTAACAATTGGCTGTATGGATATTTACGTACAAACAAACAAGCGCGCATTGAATTAGTCTGAAATGTCATACTTCTTCACTCCCTAACAAGAGAGGGGTGCGGGCCGGAGAGAGTAGGGACCTTACGAAAGTACGACGGCGACGGAAACGGGAACGTCATAAAAGCAATAGGTTTAATGCGCAAAACAACAACTCTGCACGTGCATCACGCTTTTTTGTACATTTCTTTGCAGTCCCTATATAACTACGACGTAAAATGACCAAATTTTAAGTTTACTTGGGAACGGGAACGGCAAGGCGATTAATTGTACCATCTCTGCCTGAACTCAGGCGCGGCCCTTCTCTTCAGCTCCAACCCCAAATCCCTTCTTTTAAGTAGCTTGGCCCCTTAGAANCCACCCCACAACCCCTTTTTAAAAGGGTTTGGCCCCTTGAAAATTTATCAAAAAAAGAGAAAAAATGTGAAGTTTTTTTTTCCCGGGCGTTTTTCTGGGGGCCCCCGTTTGGGGTTTTTAAGGTCCCCGGGCTCCTCCCCCCCCCCCCCCCCCCGACGGTTTAGGGGATGGAGACGTGTGACATTTCAGACTGACATTGAATGTCTTTTAGCTTTTACTTACATAAAGTTGAAAAAATTGGTCCGAACTTAAACACTCTTCCAGATGTGTGTCTTATTGCCTCTGTGCCAACTTCCATCACACGTCTCTGTATGGAGTCAAAACAAATGAAAACACATTAGGAAAATCATGATCAGAATCAGATCAGAATGATTATTCAATCAGCAATTGCAACAATTTATGTTATGTTAAAAAAATAAAATAAAGAAAAGAGTTACTGATTTTTCATTTATAAGGGTAAAGATAAATTAAATTGTAATTTTCAATAACTTTTGTAAATTGTAATTTTGTCACTTTTTTTCTAGTTTTCTACAATTTTTGTTATTTTTCCTTTGTTTGTAAATATGAAATAAAGTGTTGCTGTAAAATAAATATATAAATACTAAAAAAAAAACAATTATATTTTCGTGTTGACTTCTGAAACGTGGGAACATCATCAGTTGAAATTTTGCCGACAAACTACTTCTTGTTTGTTTTTTCTCCGACAAACTGATGTTGGCAACATCGAGCAGATTTATGGCGCTTCAGTTTTAAAGTAGGAGTGCATTCGTTGCTTAGCGAGACATACTCACCATTTGACTATATCCACGTGGTGTACTTTGATTTCTTCCCCAAGGGGACAACCACAGTTGTGCATAAGAGTGGATATCAAAGAAAGAAACTAATTGTTGAGCACATCTTGCAAGATAAGTAGCCACGTTTTGAGTCTCAATCTCACTCAGTGGTTCTCCCCCAGGATATGTTTCACAGTTCGGTTTATAGATGCAGTCATTCAACCCTAGAAATAAACCAATCATGATTTGAATACTAGATTTTGTACCTTAACAACAAAAAAATCCTGAAATAACACTGAGACAAAACCAAACTAGAAACAGCAGTGTCGCCCGGGGAAAAGTATTCCCTATAATGGCCTTTACCGAGAGGCTGTGGCCAGCTCGTGCCGCGCCGGAAATTTGCTTCAACCAATAAAAAGCACTGCCTAGATCTGGTTGGTGAAATGTCACCAGTATGGAATTACTGCGCGCGTTCGTCAAACGTCATTTTGCGGTGAAAACAGTGGTGGCTTTGCGGATTTTCGGCTGGTTTCTCAGGACAATTTTTCGTAGTGAATTCAGTATTTTGATTAATAGAATCAGATCTGAAATGAATACGCACCCCAGTTTTCATTCGGAAAGTTTCTGTTCAAGTCCACACCAATTATATTAACAGAGCCTAGAGACAGAACTGGTCTGCGATTTTTTCTCCAAAGTCGATCAACCTGTTGGGAATGAAAAAAAAAAAAACAATTCAGGTCAATGTCTTGAAAAACACTGACGTAAACACGTCTCACGTTAACCTAAAATTAAGTTGCCGCGAACATAAAACAAAATTCCTCTCAACAAAAGGCTCTACAAACTGACTTGACTGTCAAGACACTTTCTTATTTCTCGACAAGAAAAATAATATGAAGCGAACGCAAGGGGGAATGTAAATTTTCCCTCCCTAACAAGTTTTCGGTCGGATCACTAATGATATTCTCCTCTGCATGTATTACTTACCTCTTGCGTATGATTATAGCCATCCACGTTAACAACAGGTAGGAAAAACCAGTCAAATGTGTTCAGCATGTTTGCAACTCCCTCATCATTGCCGTCTTTGGATTCCAGAAGCTAATATTCAAAGGAATAACGCAAAAACGTAACTACTGTTTGTAACTGAAAGCTTCTTTTCCTCTACTATGGGAGTATGATTACGTTAATAGAGCTTATGCGACCAATGTAAGGTGTGATCAAGCATACTCAAATAATGAATGAATGAATGGATGAACAGGCGGATGGAATCTCTGCTCTAAGCAAATGCAGTCGTGGGAAAGGCCATGGCTCAAAGCAAAGCTATCTCTATCATTTTTAACAAGTTAGCAGTTTTGTCACCACCGATCTTAAAAAATTTGGCTTGTGATGTCATTTACCAATACATAATAGAACAGCCCTTCCGCCTATCTATGATAGCGATCTTGTACTCACTGATAAATGATAAACTCGCTCTAAACAAAAATAAAGCTTGTTGTCGACGAGGAGTTTCGTGACCTACTTACTTGACGTAATATGTACATGCATGTCGCCGGACTAATCCATTCCCTGGCGTGAATTCCACAAATTATAAAGACTAATCCTCGCTCATGGGATAAATGTTTCTTTTGCTTAATCTGAGAAAAGAAGATAAATTCAAAACTTGCAAACCGTTAAGACCGATTTGTCTGAGTCTAGGAGTGTTAACTGTAATCAACTTATCCTGAACGGGATGCCAGTCAGTCCACCCAGAGGGGAGGACAGAGTGGGGGGCGGGGGCATTTCGTTATCTGGCCCAAACGGTATGTGTCCCTGAACAGGGTATGGTTTTCAGGGTCTTGCGTCTTAAACAGGGTATAAATTTAACTAGTTAAAGGTATTAAGACAGAAACCACCATGAAATTGAGTAACTGCAATTTTCGGTGGACAAAAATCTCGTAGAAGAATAATTTAAAACATATTGCATCCTTTTTTTATATTTTTCAAGAGCTAAAGATATATGATGTAATAAATCATCTGTAATAACACCAAAGAAAATTTCTCATGGGAGCCCAAGAAAATGAATGTCAAATTTAACAAAATTACATTAAATTCACAGAGATTTACAATTCTTGTGAAATTTGACATTCATTTTCTAGGATTCCCATGAGAAATTTTCTTTGGTGTTATTACAGATGACTGATTACATCTTTAGGCCTTACAAAATATAAAAAAGAATGCAATATTCCTTAAATTATTCTGGTACAAGGTTTCTGTCCACTGAGAATTAACATTACTCAATTTCCTGGTGGATTCCTTCTTCAGAACATCTCACCTCTATCCCTAACATGTTTCGTTGCTCGTACGACTTGCCCAGGTTTATCAGCTTCGCCAAATGAGAGTATTCTTCAGCGAGACGAAAAAGTTCGTTATAAATCTGGCAACGAGGGAAACATTTTATTTAGTAAGTGAATTCTCGTGACGTTTCATTTAATTCAACTTTTTACACCATAGACAAAATTTAACTGGGTGAATACTCAATACCAAAAAATCAGTATTTTGTTCGTTCAGCTCTTTTTTATTTGTTAGAGGAGATTACAATTGTGTGTTTGAACTCCACTGTGTAATCATAAAAATAAACATTTTGAGCAGGGCATTCTTGTTAATTAATTATCCGGGAATCATTGATTATAAGTGTGGGTTGTAAAACAAACCAAAAGGGATCCGCAAAAAAAGACCTCATGATACGGACTGATCTCTGTTATAGGTACAGGTGTCTTGGTCCCATAGACCTGATGCAGAATCCCCTTCCAACAATCCTGGGCAGTTCTTTGCCAGCAAAAATACAAAACGTTCTACAATCTGCACCTCTCTGAATAGGACATCTCTGATGAAGAGATTGCCCTGTCCCTGTTCTTATTAAGAAGGTTTACCTGTGAATTATAATTCTGCTCTTACCTCATCCAATGTATGATAACATTTGTCAAAAATATCTTCATCTACTTCTGAACAGCATACTTCCTCGTTGTCAATCAGTGCTTGCGTGTCTTCAATCATTGTGTCAAACTCAAGACTTCTTTCTGTCAGATATGCCTTGAAATCTTTAATAGCATCGGGACCCAAATCAATGTGAACTTCCTCCCCGGGAATCAATGAGTCCTTCCATACATCTACCTACAAAAGGATCGGAATATTCAAGAGGGTATAGAGTCATAAAAAATTTCTTGCATGATCCGGAAAGTTCAAAATTAAAAATCCATGCCATCTATCTAGTCTTTCAAGCGTGCGTACTTGTTTACTCCTGGGTAGGTCCGCAATTGGTCCACAAAGTAAGTACCAACGAGCCTTCCCAAAAAGCACCCGTAACTTCATCATGCTTGGACTAGTCACTACGGTGGTGAAAGCGCTTAGCTGAACCCCAAGGAGGAGTTGAGTCCATGAGGGAAAATCTTGCTTTGTTTATTTGTTGCCTTTTTTGTAAGCGTTAAAGGGTGCCCTTTTTTTAGGTTGAAGGGATTTCAAACAGTTAACTGCTGCACCTTCCAGCGACTATTCAGATGAGTAGAACAAGCTGAGCAATGTTAATAGGAAAAGGGTACAGCCTTATTTGCCCAGACCTTAGAACTGATAAGAGCCATTCATCAGCAATTAGGTTTTCTGATATCCTCCCACGCAGACGTTACCGTCGTCGCGTTTTGTTGGTTATTAGGCTGATTTAGCAACAGAACGGGAACGTCAGTTGACGACGGCGCGCGCAAATCAAACAACTGGCTTGACCAATGTCAGAGCGGCAAATTGGGCACTGGAAGGCGTGTTTAGTTCTTTCCGCGCGCTTTCCCGTCGTCAACTGACGTTCCCGTCCTGTTGCTAAATTAGCCTATTCTTCTAACTGCCCCTTTCTCACTGAATGAGCTACATTTGTACCGTCAGACCTGAGAGTAGCCCAAACGCCGCCTTGAATTCGATCTATTTTTTGCACTTACATCATTTCGTCTTTGTAGTAGTTCCCTCAAGGATCTTACTTGGTCCTCATTCTGTGGTATCACTCGCAGAACCTTGTGTCTTAAAATAGTCGCAAAACGTAAAGTCATCTGTTGAATTATAAATTAAAACACATTTGCGCAAATGAAGCTCGCAGAAATAAGCATGTATTTTTAGGTTTTTCAGAGAATCTTGTATTATACTCGTTCTCTTGCGGGACTTTTCCGTTTGCTTTCGCGTTGCGTATATGCCGTTTTCTCGCCTAACTCCAAGACGAAGAGGGAACGTATCCTTGAAATAAATTATGAGAATCAATTTTAAAAAATTGAGCAGTAAAAAACGTACTGCCGGGTGAACACCCCATTATTTTTTGACTTGTTCAGGACTCAGTGTCTTGTCGAAGAACACCGCTGAAGAAGCAACAGAGAGAAAGCAGCTTTCGATACATATTCCAAACTTTGTGAAGGAAACGTAAACTAGTAGCTACGGTGAAACCTTTATAAAATAGTGGTGCCTGCTAACTACAGCTGGTTTGTCAGTTAATACAGAAACCTTTAGAAGGGTAAATGACGGTAGCCTCTGCTAAATATAGGGCGTCCGTTGAATGTGGGTCCTATTGAAGAAAAAAAGGTTCCTTCTTATGTGACAAAATAAGTCGCGATTTAATTCGTTAAGGGAAAGAAGACATAAAGAATTAGTGAGAAGTTGTAACGTTTTTAAGTCGTTAACTTGGATTTCATAATTCGTACTCTTACCCGTCATAAAGTCGTGCACTGTGACTTAGATGGTGGAAGACGATAAACACTAATATGGCCACTCCAATCTGGAAGGATTTTAATCCTATTGCTTTCATAGCAAGACAAAATTACGTGGATTTCTTTCCAATTAATCTTCATCATACCCTATGTTTTAAAATTGGCTAAACCATACCAGGAGTGATGAAGTCACTGAATAATTTGTTGTTCTGTTATGTATCTCATTTTCTTCGACCAATGGAGAATTTTTAATAAAATCAAGCAAGCATGTCACCATATTATCACTGACATGTGAACACGGCGGCGGCTGCGTGAGTTTTCTGGCTTTCTCTTTTTCTCTTTGTGTATAATGTTTGTGGTGTATGTAAAACGTTTTGCCATCTAATGGCAACCGCCCTGGAAGAATTTAAAGCCCTTTCTGGAGACCGATCGACCTGCGGCCATAAGTTATCAACGATCGATTGAGCCGAAATTCAAACATTGTTCAAATGATCTCAAAATATTGGTCGACTAGTGCACTACCAAATACACAGGGAACCGAACACTGTATTAGCTGTATCATTATCATTTGTTATTTACCTGTATTCAAGAGGCCTTATGAGTTTTTTGAAAGGGATTTCAATCAGAGCGTAAGACCGTTAACCTTGCCGGTTTGAAATTGTTTAATTTTGTCTAAATTGCTAATCAGTAAATATTAAATTACTGAGTTAAAGACCTTATAGGCTAGGGCCTTAGGTCTTGAAGCTAGAAATTTACTTAAGCAATTTAATTGGTTTAGCACTCCTGTGCAAATGTAGGACTACTTCTTTAGACCATTAGTTGTCTTTGATCCTAAATCAAATTTCTATTTCAGAGGTCCGTTTGATAATTAACAAAGATATTTCTATTGTCAACAATAGCATCAATAATACAAGAATTAACTTAACTTTTAGTTTATTAACCAAAAAAATGACTGACTTGTGAGGATAGAGGATAGCTTATCGGACAGTGTATTCTTAAAAGCAACAGGATCCTGGGTTTATGATACCTCTAGCCGATTTGTTAATAAGTTCAAACGACTTATAAAAAAGTATTCTTGAATACCCCTCTTCAGATGATGATAATTTGCATGTGCAATTTACTTTCAAATGCTGGTGGTGGCCGGGCGTAAAAGAAAAGCTTTGGTTAATTAAAAGACAAGATCGAACGAGAGCTAGAACTATCGGATGATGGTCTTGAAACTTCGCTCATAGAACTTAGAACTAAACAAATTAAACAGATTAAAAGAGTATCGTCATTGGTTCTATAGACTCCTCGCAACAATGTAGAGCATGTTAAAGGTCCTAAACTGACAAGGTCTAGATATGTTCATAGCTAGTGATATGATAAATTTAGATCCAGTTTAAGAACTGTTCTGACGAACTAACTTCTGATAACCGGGGCTTGAAATTACGGCCGGTCAATAACCTTTGTCTTGTCGTTTACTGCTCTAATGGAAAATTTAATTTAAGACTTCAGAGTTTAAGTAAGATTTTAATTGGACATTATTGAGTGGCGTTCTTAATTTAAAAAAAATAAGGGAAAAGAAGGACACGACCCTAAAACCAAGAACAGTTGCAAAATTTCATGATCGTGATTTTCGATATTAGCTATAGTTATTTTATCCCTCAAGTCATCACAGAAAATCCAGGCGTTAATGGGCTGACTCGAACCCAGAGAGGAATAGAACTAAAGCGGAACTTGTCTACCCCTGCCAGTTCCTCGAAAGATGGTTACGTTGGCCCAGGATTAAGCCAAATTTTAAGCAAGGTTTTCTTGTCTTGGAACATGCAACTCAAGCTTACAAAATACTGTTGAACCTTTACTCTGAGATACAGTAATGATAACACAAAATATTATTCTAAGCAATACATAGGAAGGCAAAATACAAAAACGGAACAAAATTTTAATCCTGGATTAGCGCTAATCGGTCTTTCAGGAAGCAGGACCTGGGTACTAGAACAACAACAACAACAATAGTAATAGTAATAATAATAATAATAATAGCTTTATTCAAACTTTCAATTTTAAAAACACGACAATGCTTGATGTCCGTAATTGGCTTAAGGTAGTCGAGACGGGCACAAGAAAAGAGAAAATATCCTTTCGGAAAAAAAAAATTAATGGAAGAATACAAATCTAGACGTACTCCAGTTTGTAGCGACTAGACTAATACGTAAATGCTAGTTGAATTTTTCCATCCATGCAGCGTTTTCAGTCACGTGATCAGCAGCTACGTCAGTTTATTGGATTTGTAATCGGAGTCGTATCAAACCTGGGGCCGTTAACGGAGTCATAAGCTCGACAGTATCGAAGTTCCAAGGATCAAAACGTTTCTATTTTTTCACCGCTTATATTGTGACTGCGTTGACTACGATCTAAACTTGCTTAGAATGCAATTGTATCGTTCGGGTACAGTGGAACCTCGATGTAAGGAAGTCCTCGGAATAACGAACGATTCTCTTTACCCTAGTAATAGTAAAATATACGAAAAAGAACCTCGATATAACGAAACCTCGTTATAGCGAACTAATTTTGCATGTCCCTAGGCCTTTGCCTATCTCGAGGTTCCACTGTAGTGGGGACGGGGCAAAGAGAAGGGAGCACGAAAAGCAACGAGGGGGTGGTGAAGGGGGTCACTGCCGCAAGTAGAAGCGGAAAAATGAACCAGCCAAAGTCCTCCATATACGTTTTTACAGACTCGTACCCAGTCGTTATTTATGTGTTTTTTTGGGATGAGAGAAGATTGGGGATTAGGTTGAGGCGCGCGCGGAGAATAATTCTTTCCTTCCCATGAGACCCCGCGCGCGCCTCAACCTAATCCCCAATCTTCTCTTACCCCCCAAAACACATAAATAGCGACTGGGTACGAGTCTGATGTTTTTACTGGACTAGTTTAGCCGGTTCCAATCGTTCAAGCAAGGACGTTTTGGAGCGACGTACGTCAATCGGAAGTGGCTTTTTGAACGATGGTATTGTCCTTATTTTCAGTCAAATCGTCTCTATAAGAGTAAAGAAGCTATGCAATACAAACTTTATATAGTCAAGGTATATTAAGAGGGAAAATGCCTTACGTCCGGTTGACGTCCGTCGCTCAAAAACGCCTTTGCTTAAGCTTCCTTGTAGCCTGCGTAGCATAGCGGTTTTGGTTGGGCGCGCAAATAAGCCAAGGCGGACGACGGCAGTGAAACCGCGACTGACAAAACTGCGCCATGCTACACAGGCTCTTCAGATAGTGGAGGCGATCAGACTGTTCAGATACAGTAGTGGAGAGAGGCGCCAAATGCCACATCGCAGTCCCCACCCCTTGTTTTTCTTCTGTCTATTTTTCGCCATGGGTGAACGCCTGGAACCAGCTAAGACTGGTTTAAAGCTCTGTGCTTTTGATTTTGACTCCGTCGCTAAGGAAAACCAGGTTTAAGAAAATGGTTAAAAGGGAAACAGAGACTCCGACTGGAATGGTTTCCAATGAAGCCGGACTTGACGAAACCTGAAAACACTTCATTGTGACCTAAGTTTTCTGTCTCTTTTGACTTTTCTCTTGGGATTTTCTGCCATGATCGGGGTGATAGCCTTGAAAGCAGCCATGATTTCTTTTCCACTATCAATGATCTGACAAGCGGGTAGAATAAATCCATTGTCGTCCTTATCAGATGGCCTTAGCTCTATTGTATACGAGTGAGTAACACCCAGCGTGTCGTACACATAATCAATTGTTATGCCATATGCAGGATCTGAAAAATGCAATATCGAAACTTTATTGTGATGAGCTTAGAATATAGTGAAGCGAGCCTGCCCAATTCGATCTGTAATCCCGGGTTGGTTACTTGGGTTAATTTTTGCTGGGTTACTAATGTGCCGCTGCCCTCTCAGAACTCCTGCCCCATTATAGTCTATTCTGTGGCCAAATATAGACCCCATCTTGGTCAGTTTTGGGAAAATGTAATTGTCGCGATCCCAACTTAGTAACTATTTGTTTACGCACCTACCTTATGAAGCTTTATAACTAGGTCATCCTGACTGTTGAATTGACACATTGTTCACACTCAATGAAGTAAAAATCTTCCCATTTTTAAATCCCTACGTAAATGAATTTTCTGATCCCCAAAATCCCGAAAATAGGCGATCCCATACACTAATGAAAATGCAACCCCATTATCGTCAATCTACTATCGGCGACAAAATGAGTGGAGACACTTCGCCCTAAACGGGGCTTTTTCGCGTTTTACTGACTTCAAAAGAAGGAAATATAGCTTTTCCTCCCCCATCCCCTCCAAGCAATGTTGTGCCGATGTTCGAGCTACCTATAGAAAACAACAAACACCCAAACTTTGAATGGAGGGGTCTGGGGAGGGGCGCGGTTTCTTTTGTTCTCTGAAGTTATCCTAGTTTGAGTCTCAACAATTTTTTCACCCATTGTAGCCTTGAAAATGCGACCCAATCCAGTGGCACATCCCCATTAGCCTATAGCTAGGAAGTACCCCCCCCCCTTCCGGGTCTTTAATACAGTCAACTCTTCTCTAAGTGAACGCCTTTTACACCGGTTAAGTGCCCGTCTTAGAGAGAAGTCCGTCTTACAGAGAGTCAAACACAGAAACTCAGTAGCAAAGAAAGGCAGGGACCAACTCTTGGAGTTCGTTTTATAGAGGTGTCAGTTAAGAGAGAGTGGACAGTAGTAAAATTATTTATTAAAAAATCAATTTTAAACACAGGCGTCCCAAGTTCACCTTACGAGCGGCGGTGGGATGTAATTTAGTCGGTGTCGCGTTACAGGCGACCGTTGAGACCCCCAGGGTTGAGACGTTGTATGAGAAATAAAATACCGTATTTATTCGAATAAGCGTCCAACCTCGAATTAACGCCCACCTCGAATAAGCACCCATCCTAAAAAGAGAAAATGTCGATGAGCGCCCAGCCTCGAATAAGCGCCCACCCCTACTCCTCCCAATCAAACTCAAATAAGCGCCCACCCCCACCCCAACCACTGACAATGAGATTGAAATTGAAATTGAATAAGTACTAATAAGAGACTTCCCCGACGACGGAAATTTCTTCAGAGTATTTTACAGAAACCTTGCTTTGTTACTTTTTCGCGTTTTATGGCTCTTGTAAGCATTTATTGTTTTATTGCAAAATAAACATACTACACTTGCTGAAAATGGTAAAAAAAATTAATAAGCGCCCAGCTTCGAATAAGCGCCAACCTCGTATAAGCGCCCACTCTCAAGGTCCAAAAATATAATAAGCGCCCTGGGAGGTTAATCGAATAAATACGGTACTGAGGTCTGTGAACGCTAAATATCAGGCCTCAGTATTTTATTTCTTACACAACGTCTCAACAGTCGCCTGTAACGCGACACCGACTCTCTTGCGAGAAAGTAAATTACATTCCACTTTTGTAACGTGAGCTTGGGACGCCTGTTTTTTAAAGACCCTGGCCAAATCAGGGGCGAAGCCAGGGGTCCTAGCCTGTTCCAGGCTCCGAGATAGTCTGGTCGGCTGAACTGATAAAGCGCGAAGACCGATTTTTCGCGTCCCTTTTTCTTTCGCGCCTTCCCTACTATCTGAGAGCCTGGAACAGGCTACAGGGGTCCAAACTTGAGCTCACCCTTAGAACTTTAATACAACCTGTTTACAGCTTATCATTTGCACCCGTAAGCTATTTTTTCACCACTAAACTTGTGAGCCTTAAGTTTCCTTGCACTCAGTCACTTAAAGGCTATAAATTTCTTCCAGACTGATGGGTGCATTTAGGGACCCGGACCCCTGGACCCCCCGATCCCCCAGAACTCCCGGAACCCCCGGTCCTCCCCCTGGATCTGCAAACGACTAAAAACACGTTGACACGATATCGTTCAACATTGTTAATGAATTCAACGTGCGCTCGTTTAAAGCAAATTTCCCAATAAAATAAAAAAATAAAGGTCTACATGGAAATTATTTTTAATACAGTGCATTAAAAAAACTCAGAAACTGAGGATAGCAATAAAAGTAAAGGTACTAGCTGTCACTACATAACTAGTATTTACTAGCACTCACACACGCACTGAGTTTCAGTATAATTTTAACTTACATATTGTTTGATAAGTCGGTCCGAATTTAAACGCTTTCCCGGATGTGGACCTTATTGCTTCGGTGCCAGCTTTCATCACACGTCTCTGTATGCAGTCAACAGAATTAAAAGGCATTAAAAATAACGAAAATTATGTTTGTTCATTTTCATACTTTGACTACCAAAACAACTTTCAAGGGTTTTAAATGGAGTTATAGCGAATTTCTACTTACAACAAAAAGTCAAGCATTGATTGCGAAATAACTTCGGATATGAGTTGGCTGTCGACTTTAAATTAACGTGAAAACTTCGTTAAATTCTCAGTCTTTCTGTTTCGTGAGCATACCAAATTTTAATACCTCCTTTGCCCCGTCAATAAAAAATACAACGTAACAATAGTGTCCCCAATTTGTAATTTCGTGCTAAATACATTAACACTCAAAAAAAGTGCATTTTATTTCTGGATTCCATGTATTGGATTCTGGATCTCTTGTCAATGGGAGATAGATTCCGGATTCCAATCGTTATGGGGCCGGATTCCGGATTTCTTGAGCTGAGTTCCGGATTCCAAAGCCCAGGGGATATCCTCACATGGTGCGAGCCTTTAAATCATCTTTTTTTTTTTCGTTAAATAATTTGTCTTTCGACTCACCATTAGATTATACTCAGCCGGTGTCCCATTCTTATTCCCCCAAGGGGCCATCCACAGCTGTGAATAGGAGTGAATATCAAAGAAGGAGACCAGTTCTGAAGCACGGCTTTTAAGATAAGCGGCAACGGTTTGAGTTTCAATCTCACTAAACGGCTTATCTCCAGGATAAGTTTCACAATTTGCTTTAGAGACGCAATCATTCAGCCCTATAAATAAAGCAATGGTTCAAATATAAGCCCGAAGAACAGGCGTAATTTTTTCGCTTTGCAGGCGAGCAAAGCGAGCGGAGAGCACCAGACACACTCGACGGGGCCTTCCCGCGTCAAAGTCTATAACATGAATGACTAGCAATTGCTATAACGTGAATTTGCTCTGCTGCAGTCGCCAATAAATGACTTGAAAACAAGACCGGGTGCGTTTGTTCTTGTTCGAAACAGGGTAATTAGTTGAGGCACGGTTGTTGTACAAAACAGGGTATGTATTTTAGGATTTTTTTTCCTAAACAGGGGCTGGATTTCATTCCCTCAGCGGCTCATCACCTATGCCCAAGTATTGGTCGATTACGTTTAAGCGGTTAGCGACGAAAAACATTTCCTTGGGTTATCAGTCGGTCGGGCTTTAGGAGACAAGGTGAACTGCAAGTAGTCTAAGGAAAATGAATGATCTCTATAGAAATCTAATCTTTCTTTCTGAAAACCCGTTAAATTAAGTGTTGTTAATAAAAAGAGTTAGAATTGACTACGAACCCCAATTTTCAGTTGCAAAGTTTCTGTTTAAGTCTACGCCGACTGCTTTACCAGAGCCTGTAAGGAGAATCGGCCTTCGATTTTTTCGCCAAAGACGGTCTACCTGTTGACAACAAAGTTTTTTATTTCCATTAAATGAACAAAACTCTCAGCATCGATCGGCGGTAACCAAGTATTCAGGTCGGCATCACCAATCAAAATTTCTAGCTATTTCTCTTAACACCAAACTCTACTGAAGTCCTGTAGCTATTTAAGACTATTTGGAGCCTTTTCAATTTCTCAACGCAAACTAGCCGAAATCTGTGAACAAAGCGAAGTGAGAATGAGGATTCGGGGAATCTCCCTTCCCCAACAAAGAACAATATAGTATGCGCGTTGATCACTATTGATTATCCTCGCTGTATTACTTACTTCTTGCGTAAACCTGTAGCCATCCACGTTGAAAACTGGCAGGAAAAACCAGTTAAATGAATTCACCATGTTTGCAACTCCCTCATCACTTTCTTTGGATTCCAGAAGCTAATGTTCCAAAGGAAAAGCAGAATTAAGGTATAGTTTTAACTCAAGTTCCATCTCTTTACGTAACATTTTTAGCTAATGCCTCTCCGACCACATTGTGACCAAGCAATCGCACAATGAATGAATGGATGGATGAATGAATGAATGAATGAATGAATGAATGAATGAATGAATGAATGAATGAATGAATGAATGAATGACTGACTGACTGACTGACTGACTGACTGACTGAATGAATGAATGAATGAATGAATGAATGAATGAATGACTGACTGACTGAATGAATGAATGAATGAATGAATGAATGAATGAATGACTGACTGACTGACTGACTGACTGACTGACTGAATGAATGAATGAATGAATGAATGAATGAATGAATGAATGAATGAATGAATGAATGAATGAATGAATGAATGAATGAATGAATGAATGAATGAACGAATTGTTAAGAGTCTCTCAACTTGATTTAAATGAAAATAAAGCTAGTTGTCGAGGTACATTCGAATCTACTTACTTGACGTAATATGTACATGCAAGTCGCTGGACTGATCCATTCTCTGGCGTGAATTCCGCAAAGTATAAAAACTAAACCTCGCTCACTGGCATCGGGTGTGTTTTGTTTAATCTGAGGAAAGAAGATGACTGTAAATTCAAACCTAGCAAAATAGGGAGAGGTTGTTTGAGTTCTGGTGAGCTCTATTTCTGGCTTAATTATAAACAGGAACCTATACCCCAGAGCAAACAACTTCCATGTACTTGTGCCACGCCGCATTTGCACTGACCAGTTCATTTTTAGAACGGTTTTGACACGAATTTAAAAAATCTCTTAAGTGACACAAAAAAGTCAGCACTAGTTACCTACATCCCTGAAAAGGGTGTCTAAAACTTATAATGACATTAAGTTTTCTCCTTTTTGATATCTTATCTTTTGAATGTGCTCATCGGTGGATCGGAGTTTCCATTTTCGCTGCGGCCTAGATCTCACCTCTATCCCTAACATATCTTGCTTCTCGTAAGACTTTCCCACGTTTACGAGCTTCACCAAGTCCGGGTATTCTTTCCTCAATCGGAACAGTTCATCATGGATCTGGTTTGAGGAAAAATATTTACCGAGTCAAGTAAATTCTTACAACGTTTCTCACAACAAGGTCAGCTTTTAGAACATGGATTAATCTAAAGTATGACAAATAAATTAAAGTGCTGATCAATGTGTCCCTGGTTAGCTGTGTTTTGATCATATGATATATTTTGTAACGTTTGAGAAAAAGAAAACATTTGATCAAAAGCCGATAATAAAAACACATCTTTCAGTTAGCCGGTTAGCCTCAGTTCAAACGTGGAACTTTTCATGCCCCGTACTTACCAGCTATTTAATTTGGGTCGATCCAAACGATAAAAGTTTGACGGTTGATTCAGACTTCAAACTTTAATTAATTAAAATTAGTCGGAATCAACTCATTTTCGCGATGTACAACAGTCTACAATGTTTACCAGTGAAATAAGTTTTAGTAATTTATTCATCAGGATCGGTACATGAAACTTCGACGTTTGAACTGGGCCTCATTAGGTACCGAGTTCCTTCATGTTCCCGCGAACTGTCCTAATTTCGCAAAGACACAAAATTTCATACATCCCTAGCTACAATCGGCGACAAAATGAGATGAGACACTTTCCCCTAAAGGGGCTTTTTGACGTTTTCTTGACTTCAAAAAAGGAAAACATAGCTTTTTCTTCCTTGATTATTTTGCTCTGAAGTTATCCTATTTGATTGCAATATCTCAAAAATTTTGTCGCCGATTGTAGCTCTAAAAGGAAACCAGGGCTATAATGTGGACATGGGCGAAACAGCCGTGCATCGGGCTGCCACTGTCCGGGATATATGTTTGTACGCATTTCTAAGGTACTGGCCATACCGCGGATTTGGTAGTGTGCGCTTTAGTGCTGAGATGGTTCCTGGTTCTTGTCCCCTTGCTCATCGCATTAAGAAGGTTTGAATGCAATTAATTCTTGTCCTTACCTCATTTACTGTATGATAACAGCTGTCAAAATTATCTTCATCCCCTTCTGAACAGCACATGCCTTCGTTATCAATCAGTGCTTGCGTGTCTTCGATCATTGTTTCAAACTTTAGACTTCTTTTTGTTAGATCTGACTTGAAATCTTCAATAGCATCAGGACCCAAATGAACGTGGACTTCCTCTCCCGGAATCGACGATTGTTTCCATACATCAAGCTACATATGTTTGGGACATTGAATAGGGTTAAAGACACATCAGTATATTTCAGAGTGAAACACGAGTTCCTTGTCAACTGGCTTATAGGTTTGCATTTGGCCCATAAAATAATCAACACTGGTGATAACCTTCGGATAAACTACTCGTTAAACTCCTTCGACTTCGAAGGTTGAGACATTGAATAGGCTTGTAGGTATACGCATCAGTATATTCAGAGTGGTACCTAAGTTCACATTTACGCTCCACCCGACTACCTGACACAGGCCTTGTCGTTGGCCGCCTCTTTACATCCCCTGGTCACAGCGTCGGTGACATGCTGGTATGCGTGATTCGTTCTGGCTTCAGAAGTGCAACAGAGAAGCGCAGTTTTGAGGCCAGAATGATATTCAGACACCGAACACTCGCACCAGCCGGACCGAATGTGGACTTTAACTTTAATTGAACTACTCAAAGTTAGCGCGCGCATGTAACGTTAGCCTTTGTTTTGATTTGTACTTAAACGTTACATTGCGCGTGCTTTTTTCAGTTGCTATAAACCACTGAGGAGGAGGGAGCACTCTCGAAACGTCTGGTTTTCCATACCTTTTAAACGCACATTTTTATAAACTTTGTAAAAATCAATCGATCATTAAATTTGCGTTGCACAATATCTTCCAATTTTTACCTGAGTTCACTGTCAACTAGCTCATAGGTCCGCAATAGGTCCATAAAATAATTAACAAGATAACCTGCGCATAAACGAGTCGTTAGGATCCATATTAACTTTGAACGTTATGGCGTCGATCTCCAAAGCGGCGATAACAGCCGCTAGGACGCGCTTCTTTCTATTTTCGCGTTTTTTTGTTTTCGTTTCGTTTTGCCTTTGGTTGTTTGTTTGCCTGTTTTTTTGTTTGTTTTTCACCGCAAGGGCGGAAACCCTTGCTCCCAACGGAATACACAGCCTTCCAACCGCGTCTTCAGCACTGCCCTCAGTCTCGCGGGCTTTGGTTTTGATTACAGGTGGTCCAAGCGTAATATGAGAGTTTGTATGGGAAATAAAGAGTTTTTATGGAAAATGAAACTTAGATGAGATAAATGACCTAAAAGAGGTAAAAGTTATCAATAAAGTGTAAATATTGCTACCTGGAGTCGTTGTCTTTGTTTTTACGAAGTTTCAGCGCGATTTGAGTATTTTTACATCATTTGACCTGACAGTGTATATTACCACACTGTCAGGTGAAATGATGTAAAAGTACTCAAATCGCGCTGAAACTTCGTAAAACAAAGTCAACGACATCAAGTAACAATATTTACACTTTATTTATAACTTTTATTGCTTTTAGTTCATTTATTTCATTCAAGTTACAAACTCTTTATTTCCCATACAAACTCTCATATTACACTTGGGCTACCTGTGGTTTTGATCTAAAAAAAAAAAGCTTGTTCCGGGACTCCAGGCCCCTTCTCTAGATCCCCACGATCAACCTCGTCTCGAAGGGCTTTTCCCATTATTTTAGGGAAAAGCCCTGAGGACGAGGTTGCCCCACGATAAAGAGATTTAAGGTGGCTCGACTGGATTTTTTGGGGTTGGTACCTCCCAAGTTTGAGCATTAACTACGTCGGCATGAGTAAAGATATGGAAAAAAGGTTACCACAACTGTATTATATAAAGATGAAAATTTTTTATGATTTGGGTTTTATTGCAATCGGAGTCGCCATGGCAACGTAATGACGCCATTACGTTTTTCATTTATTGTTGTGTTTCCCTGTATCAGGAGTTTTTTGAAGAAATCGCTTAAGGGAGTATGTACCTGCCATAATTGCCTCCATTATGGCAAAGTTTGAAGAAATTCTATGAGAGCGTTTTCGAGATATTTCGAAATGCAGTTTTAAGAATCATCAAAGCAGTGAAATAGCATGCTAGCCGCACAATTCGCTAATATTTTAAGAAAATGATAAGCTTTGGGAACGCGGCTTCATCTCATAGTGGTTTGATTCTATTGAAAACTGCATACAAAAAAAGAGGGGAATTGCTCTGGGCGATCGCGAGTAAGAAGAATTTTATTAACTTGCATTCAGCTGCTTTTGATACAGTTTTTGGAGGTAATTTGGTCCATGCCTAAAAAGTTCGCATTTTTCCAAAAACCGCTCGATAAATTTTTTTATAAATTCGACAATCCCGAGATCAGTCGTCAAGAAATATTCCCTGCAAGTTTCAAGAACATTGAAAACATGGAAGGCTTTTAAATAGGGACTCAAACATAACCGATTTTCCCCCCCAGATTTTGTGTTTACAAGTGAGCGTCCTTATTATTCACTGGCATTGTTTTCAAGTTTCATATGCACGTGCACAAATAGCAAAAGATATAAATTTGCATCAAAAATTACTTTCCAAAGAAATATCCGGTATATGCTAATAATTGGCTTGTACTCACAGATAGCAATGAGAGCCGAAACGGTGAACGTCACGGCTCATCGTGTAGGAAGCAATACTTAATTATCTTAATCGGGTTATAACATCACAGAAACTGTCACAAAGAATTGTTCTGATGTTAAAAATGTATCACTAACCTCTTTACCCGGTAATTAGCATATCCCGGAGCTTTAACCGAGGGTCCTTTTTGATGCAAATTCTATCTTTTTGCTAAATGTGCACGTGTATATGAAACTTGAAAACAATGCCAGTGAATAATGAGGACGCTCGCTTGTAAACACAAAATCTGGGGGGAAAATTGGCTATATTTGAGGCCCTATTTAAAAGCCTTCCCCGTTTTCAATGTTCTTAAAACTTGCAGAGAATATTTCTTGACGATTGATCTCGGGATTGTCGAATTTATAAAAAAATTTATCGAGCGGTTTTTGGAAAAATGCGAAATTTTTAGGCGTGGACCAAATTACCTCCAAAAACTGTGTCAAAAGCATCTGAATGCAAGTTAATAAAATCCTTCTTGCTCGCGATCGCCCAGAGCAATTCCCCTCTTTTTTTGTATGCAGTTTTCAATGGAATCAATCCACTATCAGATGAAGCCGCGTTCCCAAAGCTTATCATTTTCTTAAAATATTAGCGAATTGTGCGGCTAGCATGCTATTTCACTGTTTTTATGATTCTTAAAACTGCATTTCAAAATATTTCGAAAACGCTCTCATAGAATTTCTTCAAACCTTGCCATAATGGAGGCAATTATGGCAGGTACATACTCCCTTAAGCGATTTCTTTAAAAAACTCCTGGTACAGAGAAACACAAAGATAAATGAAAAACGAAATGGCGTCATTACGTTGCCATGGCGACTATGATTGCAATAAAACCCAGATCATAAGAAATTTTCATCTTTATGTAATACTGTTGTGGTAACCTTTTTTCCATATCTTTACTCATGCCGACGTAGTTAAGGCTCAAACTTGGGAGGTATCCCCCTAAAAAAATCCAGTCGAGCCACCTTAAGAACACTTATTATTCATTCAAAATATTTCCCTAATTAATTCTGATTGGCACACGCATAATTCACCATAACCAGTTACGTAAGAGCACCGTTGCCGAGAAGACCTGGGGACGAGGTTGAGTTGTTTTGGTTGTGAAAAAAAATGGCGGACATTTCACACGTTTCAAGAGTAAGACCTACAGCCGGAACTAGGAGAAATAATAGCTAAAAACAGGGCGAAAACAGCAAGAAGACAACTCAGAGGGCGACATCTGCTATTTGGAGAATATTTGCGGAGCCGGGACAAACCTAAACGTACACTATGGAAGACTGAACTTAACATCGATGCAGGTAAGCATGTTTTAGCTATGTTTTTTATAAACTGGGAATTTTTTTGAATGAATAATAAAGCAATTATTGAATTCGGCTTTCGTCGGATATGAAGAATTAAGCAGATCTCGGAGGGTGTTATCGACCTCGGCCCGATAACATCCTCCTCGATCTGCTTAATTCTTCATACCCTACTCTGCCTCGTTCATTAATTGCTAAATGACTGGCTCTGAGGGAAAAGCTTAATTTTGTTTCTCGAGAATCCCAATGTTTCCCAAGGCAGAGCCGAGGGAAACAAAATTAACTATTTTCCGTGGGACCAGTCCTTAAGCGACTTATTATATAGCTGGAAATTTTAACGCTGGAAGTTCATTAAACTTCGCTACAACGGCGGTCGTCGGCCAACGGTATTAAACAGCGCAATGTTACCCTCTAACGTCATAGATTTTGCAATGTTGCTCGCTCAGAGACTTTGACGGGGAAAAAGTGGCCTAGCATGAAGTAACCAATGAGAGCGTGCGCTGTTGGGAAAAAAATTTCTTACTTAACAAGGTACGAACGGCCCACCAGGAACATCATCATTTGTTTTAATGTATTCACTTACAGCACCATTCCAGCTTTGTAGCAATTCCCTCAGGGAGCTTACGTGGTCCTCAGTCTGTGGTTGCACTCGCAGAACCTTGTGTCTTAAGATAATCGCACAACAATCAAACAGTTTCAACTCCTGTATATGAAAAAGCACTACGGCAAACTTAAACTTGCCTCTATAAATGCCTCTAATATAGTGTTAGCATCTTTTGCTGTGTCATTAATTAGGAATTTTGGAGGGGGGATTTTGAAATTATTTCAACTTAAGCAAAGTTTAAGGGAAGATCTTACACCCAACATTTAAGCACCAAAACGACACTCTTTCCGGCCGCGTAAAAAATGAATTGATGCTCCCCGTCAATGATAGACATGATAGCGTTTTTGCATCGTTTTCGACCTTCCGGGGAGCTTAAGCAACGACGACGTAGGCGAAAACTTCTGGTAAAAAGCGAATTCATACTTTTTCAAAATTCATCGCTGATATTCCATGTTGTTCAATTTTTCGAATATTGATTAATTTTTCTGGAGTCGAATTCTACAGAAATGTATCCAAGTTTAAAAAACGAATTAGAAAACCGTTGTCTTTTGTCACGTCCTCAACAAAACTTGAAAATTGGCAGGTTCACGTCGTGGTCGTGTACGGATGGCAAAGAAATGTGACCAAAAAATTGTGCTGAATGGGCAAAGTTGTTGTTTTGTTTATCTAAACACATTACTATTTTAGTTCCGTTCTCGTCGTCTTTGCTAAGCTTCCTAATTAAAAAGGCCAACTCGGGCGAGAAGTCTAAACTGGTAGAGAGACGTTTTATTCATCCTTTATTTCTGAGCTCTGTTTAAGAAGGGAAAAAACACAAAAAAGGCAACAAGAAGTGGGAACCATTGACGATGCATACCAGGCCTTTATCCGCCATGATGCATACGTCTTTTTGTATTCAAGGGACTGAGACAGCAGAGTCACATCATCACAAGTTGTCATCGGAACAACAATAAACACGTTGTACCGAGCAGAATATATAGAAATAGCTTGATGAATTTAAATTTTTCATGCTTAGCAAAATCTCCCCTCACTATTCCGATCCGGGGGTATACGCAGTAGAAAACATTTTTGCTTCAAACGAGAATATAAAACAATTATTAAGGAAACGTTTGAACTTGGATCTTGTTAATCGATCACCCGCTTGATTTTTATTCTTCCAACTGTCTTTTGAGTCTGAAAACTATAGCGTAACGCGGAAATGAGTCTTATCTTGTTTTTACAGCTCATGTCACTTATAGGGAACTTATGTTTGTACGAATTTTAACCCTGTTTGGGGCTCTGCAATATCGGGGTTCCCGATTGGACAGGTGCCGTTTCGACTCCACTTATACTTTCGCTATAACAGTTTTCGAAAGCCCAAGGTACTGGCATAAGACCTGTATTGTTAAATTCTCCCACGTCAATGCTGCGTTCATGTCTGCCTCGAAGATCACCATTGAAGGGATTTTGTTTCAACATATTTGTGACCGAGAATATAGCTCCTTGAACCCTCCATCCTAGTCGGTTGCGCCCTATATACCGGCAATTTCCGGTGTTTACAGAAAGTCAAACATCGGAACGACTCACTCAGTTTCTTTCAGCCACTGATTAGCCTTTAGCTTTGTGCTACAAATACTGCCCAGGAATCATAATCATTATTATTATATTCTTCTTAATACAGGGCGTCCTTTGACTTTGTCGTCCGCTTGAAACAGGTTTCCCAATATGCGTTTTATAAGTCGCTATAAAAAATTGATACTTCTTTACCCTTACCTGTCAAAAAGCCGTAAACTGTGGCTAAGATGCTGGGAGGCTATAATCGCTAATATAGCCACTCCAAACTGGAGGAAGTTTAAGTTTAATCCACCTACTGCTTTCATATCAAGCAGAATTAACGTGGAGTTTTTCCAGATTAGTCTTTGCTAGCCGCCCTGCGTTGTTTAAGTAGCAAACGCAGACAAAAAGTGATGAAGTTACTGAATAATTTCTTGCAATTAATATGCAGTTGAATCAGTTATGAATCTCATTTTCTTCGATCCTAGCTGAATTGGCACTGTTGATAACTTTTCTTAACTTACAATCAAGCACGATATACCTCAGTTGACCAGCAAATAAATTCTCATCATAGAAAATCAACAAAAATTCAGGCCTTAGGCGAGAGAATAAATATTTTGAGCTACAACCTCAAAGGTATCAGTCTCTCCATTGTGAATTATATATCTTATTACAGCAGCTGTACAGCTGCATGAGAAAATTGGACAAAAAGAAAAAGACATGAATTTACAGTAGAGACCGGTTTTATATTTTACTGAAGTAATTTCCCCTTCACTGTGATACAATGAAAGTACGAAAGAAAAGATTTGAAGCAAGTAAGAAAATTTTTTCTAACTTCATGTTATTCTGAATAAATAGAGTAAATATTTTTAAATTATTACTACAATTTAATTGACCTTCAATTCACGGCAAGCCTTCCTTTCTCTCACGTGATCACAGTAAACAAGTGTATGCTTAACCCTCTTAATTGTTAAAAATCTAAATTCTACCGTTTCTTTACTTCAGACATAATAATAAAACAGCAAGAGATTTCATAATAACATACACTACAGCGCGAAGGTGAATATCGTTTCTCAGGAATTTTGCTTTTTGAAAGGAGCGGTGTCTGATGTGTTAATTGAAGGCGACACTTCAGAGTTACTTCGGTTTCAGGTTCTTACTGCTACACTTTGTTTAAGTTGTCCGCTTCCAACAGAAACTAATGAACAAGACTCGTGATTAGTCAGACAGACTGTAGACAAACGTTAATAGTTCAACCGATGGTCCTCTTACTTCAAATGGAAATTTAGTGTTCCACAAGAAAAAAAATGCCGACCGTTGGACGAGTGTTTACATCCATTTTCTTGGTTAATGTTCAAATAAGATTGAAATTTTGCAACGACAAACAGCACCCTTTTCCTATATTGGAGTGGTACTGTCAAACCCCGTTAATTCGCGACACCGAGCGGGCACAGAAAATATCATATCAACGGGTTGTCCGTATAAGGCGGGTTGAATTGGGCCGCTATAAACAAGGAAACTGAACTGCCCGTATTAACAAGGTGTTCGTGTTAACCGGCTGTCCATGAAGCGGGGTTCGACTGTTGCGGATTTCCATCTTCTGATTCAATCGAAGCGTGTACGACATCCAAAGGGATGGTTAAATTCAACTGGTTTTTCAGTTCTCTACTTTTTTCGTGAACTGGGGGAGTGTAAGCATCTAGTGTCGAAAATAAAAGAGCATACAATTGTCTATTCCCTCCTATATCAGTAATAATAATAATAATGATAATAATAATAATAATAATAATAATAATTATACTACTACATGAGAAATTTCTGCAATTTGATTGGCTCAGAGCAGTGGTATTTCAGCTTAATTTGAAATACCTACATGTGAAAATTACAAAACTATTGTGGGTAGTAGTATAAACAAATAATAGCATGATTTGTACTTGATATTTGGCATAAATACCACTCGTGACATTTCGAAATTGTCTCAAATTTCACTCGCCTAAAAGCTCGTGAAATTATGTATAACAATTTTGAAATATCACTCGTGGTATTTATGCCAAATATCACTACAAATCATGCTATTACCTATACTAATAATTTTTTTTTTTTTTTATAATGAAATTTTATTAAACTCTTCTCAAAATTGAAAATTAAGTACAAATTTAGTATAACTATAGTTAAAAAAAGACTTCTTGGTGGTCTGGTGGTTTTCAATAGAGCAAATGTAAACAACTGTCTATAAACTAAAAAAAAAGAAAATTTCTATGTTCATCCCAATGATAAATATAAAAATTATTAAATTTTACTATTTACAGATTCAAGAATATGAAATATTAAAAATATATACCCTATGTACATTCTTCTTGTGTACGAAAGAGAATTGTCGTAAAATGACTATCTAAAGACTACTAATAACAATTATAAAAATAATAATAATAATAATAATAATAATAATAATAATAACAAACAAAAAACAAGACTGATCCCCACTTGTCTAGTTCCGTGGTATGCTAACCTGAATTGTCTTTTTAACAGAAAAAAAAAACACAAGGAAACCTACGAATTTTCCTGATTGTGGTCTTTTGAAAAACGGAAGCTTTATGAGAGATCTTTAATTTACAGACGCACTTTTTAATGCTTGGAGAAACATTTAATAAAATGAAAAGAAAATCTTAAAAGAACGTTTTTAGCTATCTCATATAACAATGAATATGCTATGGTACATGTTTTCAGTGCAGAGAAATAATTAAAGAACGAGGGTTCAGGGAAGGAAAAGGATGTCTTGGAATCCACTTTTAGCAAAGAAGCTTTAATTTCTCGAGGCTGTTAAGAGAGGCAATTTGTGCTTGTTGGAACCATTACTTTAAAATTAAGCACATTTTTTTCAGTCAGTTTATATAGTAACTCCATATTAACTGGAAAGCAGCTTACCTCTGTTGAAAGCCTTAAGGAAAAGAGGACAAATTCTCAAAGGAAAACGGTAAAGGAATAAAGAAAAAGCTTTTTCCTCGACCGCCATTTCTTCTTTCGCCTTCTGTGCGGTAGTCCGTTTGTTACAAAAATAAATTTAAACGGGAAAAGGTTGACTTAAGTTTATAACACATATGGAGGCTTCTGATAATCACCTCCTGTTTTGAGTTAAGGTCAAATTCCATTGACACGAACCCTGAGGGAGGAGGGGGGCCCATAGAAAGTGTCCGTAATATTTAGCGGGTTGAATTTAGAGAAAATTTTAGGGCTTTCCTTCCCCAGGGACAAAGCAAACTGTCCGTAATAATTAATGAGGTGTCCGTATTAAGCGGGGTTTGACAGTGCTGAAATCTTATTGTTATATTATTATGCTCGCCCGCTTTTAGAAGAAATGCTCAGTTGATTCAGGGAGGTTAATACCTCCAAAAATTGAATTCTCGCCATGATGTCTTAAGACAATATACCGGTATATTCAGTTAAGGGCCATCAGCATGCATATATACTTTGTTGCGCGCAATATACCTTCCTTGGGCCTTCCGTGTCTACTGCGAGATGTAAGTAAGCTTACTTGACAAGTGCCGCATGTTGTGTTTGCATGATACCACTTGATGAGCTGAGCCTATCCTAAGAACAGCGCTGTGACAAAGTTATACTCTGCAAAGTAGCCGCCTTCACGAACCCGCGGACGGAGAAATTGTCTTAAGTTCCCGCTTTTGCTTTGTTTGCGCTAAAGACAGCCGATCGCTTTCGATTGGTTTATTCGATACCTAAAAGGCGTAAAGGCAAAGTCGGCCGCTTTTGATGTAATTGATTGACAGTCGCTGGTGGATTTAAGTGAAGAGCTTATTCTTGCTCTCAAACTCTTGTTTGTACGATTCTTGCGCTGCTCTCTTGCACGATTCTAATCAACCGAGATATTACTGAGGAATGGCTGCGCGTCGAAGTATGAGTCCAGTCAGTGGATATTTGCATTCCAGCGAGTCACAACGTCAATCAGTGGCTTGTCCTTCCCTTCCTACAGTGTCCACGCCATTGGTACCAGTCTTTTCTCAACCTCTCTCCTTTTCTATATCTCGAATACTGGGTCTAGAAGACCATAACACTCAGTCTCGACCGGATTCTGGTAAGTGTGATTTTCCTGTACATATGTCTACGTTCGCGCCTGGCTTTGCCGACGAATTTCGGAAGGAGAAGCACTTGTAATTTCAGTAATTTCACCGTTTGAAGCGTGTTGAATGAGAAACGGAATGAATACTGATAATTCATCAATGGCTTATAAGCAGTGTATAACTATCTTTAACAGCCTTCCCACACCTAAAGTCGCTGAGTATTTCTTCGGTCTCCTCAGTGGGGAAGGCTGTGCAATTCAATAATTTTCAATTTAGTTTACTGTGTTTAATGCTGTAATGAGCAAGTTTCTTCAGTAATTCCCGATGCAAAATTTTAACCACTTAGCTGCAAACAAAATGAACTTTCGTTTTGTTTGGTCGCTTATAACGAAAATAACTCCGGTTGTCATTAACTAAAACCGTTGATGATTTGATAGTACTCTAAAGGTATACCAAAGTATTTTTCTCTTCAGTTTTTGTTTTTGTTAACTTCAAAACTTTTATTGTAAAAAATGATAAATGCTCTAGAAGTTTTGAGAGATAACTTAGTCACTAATTCTTCGTAGACAGAGGAAAATATCTGAGGCCTCTAGACTGGCTTGATGAAAGGCATTCACAGAACTTCATTTCCGTGTTGTTCTTTCTAAGGAGCTCAGTTATTTCTTCTCATGTAATACTTGTGTTTGGCGTTGTAGTACTACAAATGAGAAGGAGCAGAGGAGTGATGACATTTGAAATTATTAAATTTTATGACAAGACAAGTAGAATTTAGAACAGGAAAGAGAACGCGAAAACAAAGGGAGGACGCAGCTGGTAAAAGCTACACGAATCCCAGTGTCAGTTCAGTGTTAAGCGCCTTGCTAGGATGGTCGTGAAAACCGAGAGGGAAAATGCATAATACCTTAACATACGAAAATTATTATAGCTAAAGTTGATTTTGTTAAATTTTTTTAGGCAACTGCACTAACACTAGCCGCCAAAGTGCCGACAACTCACCCAACGTTGACTCCGATACTGACGTCGACAGCGGTCGGGAAAGCGACGCAGACCGACCAAACCCGAGTTCTACCAAGAAGCCGAAAAAGAAAAAACGGCGCATCACATTTTCACCGATTGAAATTTTTGAGCTGGAGAAAGTGTTTGCTGAGCGACCTTATCTGATGCCAGAAGATGAAGACGAACTGGCGCAGAAACTTGGACTCGCAACCAGGAATATTCGGGTGAGAATTATTTAATTTTTTGTGACCATTTTGTCCGCTTTCGGTCTTTTCAAAAAATTGTGGTGGAAAATAATGGAGAAAGGTCAGCACATTAAAGTGATACATTTGTAAGGTCTTGTAATAATTTCAAATTTCGGGGCAGTGCGTTTGACAGGGAGGGGTAATAACGCGGGGGAGAGTGACAGGTGGCGGTAAAGGGGGCGCAAGGAGCGGCAAGAATGATCCTTCACTTTCTCTCGATATTTTACGTCCGTTTTTGATCGACAAATTACAATCAAAACTCTTCGTAGAAAATTAATGAGACATTGCTGAAGCTGGTGAAGATCGACTGAAAATGATAAACAACTTACTTGCGCTACCTTTCATTGCAAAAATGTCTTTTTAGTCTGGAAATTGTAGTTTTCTGATTATGTTCATTCGAAAACAAAAGTTTGTCATTGTTTTGACGATCTAGTAGCGCGGTTGTGCTAATATGGGTTCCATTTGGCAGTCAAAGAACCGTGTTTTATTTTAGTTATTTATTATTTCACAATACTGCGTTAGAAAATTCAGCAGGCAAAGATTATTCGATTATATTATAGTAAGATTTGTGCAGTATGTAGGAATTCATTGGCTGTTGTCTATTGCCTTTGGAACGGAAAATCATGATCGGTTTTTTAATGTCTGCGCTTTTTGTAGGGTCACCATTGAGCTTTTCCCTTGATACTTGACTAACATAAGTATGATATCGTTAATCGTTTTTCTTTTTTTTTATTTTTCAGTTTTGGTTCCAGAATCGCCGAGCTAAACTAAGGCGGCAGGAAAGGTGTTCACCCGCTATACCACAAACAAGTTTCCCAAACCAGTTTGACCAGTACCAACCAGCCTCAATCCATCAGCCCCAGCTTAGTTATCCTGTACACGCTCGATTTCAAACACCACCGTTGTCTCCTCGTTACTCTGGATATTCACCAGACTATCAGCAGTCATACAGATCAGAGCACACCACCTTTCCGTGTTATCCAGTAAGGCCAAACCGGTTTCCAACTGTGGACATGCACTCACAAGCAACCCAAGACTTCCGAAGGTACCTGTCAAACCAGTATGCCGAGCCTTCACCATTCTTGCCAACATTACCCAGTTTATACCCCACCCAGGTGAAAACTGCTGGACACCTGGTGTCACGTGATTGCAAGACGCAATGGATGATGGGAATCCGAGAGGATGAAGACCAGGAGTAGTTTTAAAAACTTTTATTCACGAGTTAATTTCCTTAGTTTTTTACCATGTCTCTTGTCCAGATTTAAGTTGAACAAAATGTAATTCCATCACAGGTATGATTTTTCTAAGTGTTCATGTTTGGGATACAATATGCCGCAAAGACAATATCTTGTAAATATACTATTATGTACAGTATGTTATAGACAGACAAAAAGTATAGCATGTCTTGTAATTAATTTAATAGCAAAGTTAATGTACAAACTCTTTAGCTCTTTGTAAATAAACTTGTTTTCTTTAAGAGACAGTTGTTTTTTTGGAACATTTCATTCATTTTGCTGAACATTCCAAAGCTCATCCTAACCCTCATTATTTAGCTTTTTTATCTTCAAACTCAAATCTCTTTTAAATTAAGAATCTACATGCCATCTTAATATTTGTTATGTCTGACATAAAATCTAATACAGATAGTTTGTAGTTTTATCTCTTAAATACACAACGAAACTTCAAAACACACCAGCAGATTTTGTAGAGCAAGATTTTAATTTACAAGATAAGTGTATACTCTCGTAGCAGTTAATACAAACCAAATTCTTATGCAAATAGGCTTCAGTCTGGCTAAGCATGTGTTAGTTTTTGCTAGACCTCTTCAAGAGTTGCTGTGGCAAAAAATATTTCTTTTGCATCACAATAAGCTTCCAGAGAAACAGCCAGCAGTTTTATCTCATTAAACGTCTTGAATCCCTCACTAGCTAATGTCTCTTCAATCAAATTCCTAGTCAGTGGAAAGCAATAAAATCGTTCTTGGCCAACCAAATAATAGGTCTCTTCCATAACACCATACATTACAATATGTCCACCTGGTTTAAGGTACTTCTTCAATTTACCAATTGCGTGACGATAGCTTTCTTTAGATGTCACGCAAGCTTCTAGGCACAGGGATGTTGTCACGACATCAAACATGGCGGACTGCGACTCCCAAGACGAAGGCCATTTCACTGGATTATCCCACTCAATATCACATGGTAGAATATGTGTTATCTTTCTTCTCAGCTCCGATTCTCGAATAGCGGCTTCTTCACCTGACCTGCCCTCCAGATTTTCCACAATAAACCTGAAATGTGCAGACCAATCGTGCGAATCTGGCAAATTTTGTCGCCATTTTTCCACGGCTTGCCGATTTCTCTCACTGTACTCGGCAAAAATGATTTCTTCGACAAAAGGCGCGGCGCTGATGAGATCTGAAATCACTGGTCCGCCGCCAAAGTTTAAAACCCTCAAATTCTTTCTAGGCGCTAGCCTTGACCAAAATTCGTGACGCGCCACATATTGGAATTCATTCAACTTGGGTTCTCTGTAAAAATCCAAATAGTTCTCAACGTCAAAAGAAGTGTGGTAATCTTTTCCACATTTTAGCTCCATGTTTCTATAGTTTAGACGCCCACAAAGCGGTAGAGGCGGAAAGAGCCACGAGTCATGAGATCGGGAGAGAACGTGCATGTGACGTCGGGCAGAACGTCGGGAATGTAATTGACTTTTTTCAGGCCTGGTCTCTAGGCACTCAAATATGGCGGCACAGGGTTTGTTACTGCACGTAGCAAGAGAGTGAACTGATGAAGGTAGATACGTAGCCTGTGTACTTTTGGTCGATCGAGCTTTATTTTTCTCTTTTACGGTTTTCTTTTCCTTGTGTTACTCGATTTTCCTCTTCCACCCTGTGCAAATGATAAAATAATGAGTAAAATTATACCTAACTATACCAAGGCAGATTTGACACATCTTTGCTTGAAACCACTGCAGCTTCGTAGCTTGTTCTTGATCTTTTTAGACTTTATTTCTCTCTCTCTCTAACCTTTAGGAGGAATAATGCTGAAACTTCAAAGTGAACTGGACAAATTCAAGCAGGTTTTTAAAAGCTCAAAAGGTAAAATTTTGGACTGATAAGGAACAAATCCTACCGTAGATAATTATACTTAAAATTATAGTACAGGGGATCGTACGTACCAAAAACAGCCAACGAGTGAAGTTGTACATCATGAAAAAAACAACAACAACAACAACAAATAAACAAACAAACTAAAACAAAACTTCAGCAAAAACGTTTGTTGATTTGTAGTTGTTGGGTGGATTAGGAGTTGTATGGTTATATGTGCCTTTCCATGTTGTAAGCATGATTCATTACCTGCCTGCGTTTTGTGCTGTTCATGTATATGTTACAGGTCAAAATTATGCATCAGACAATTCCACCTGTGCCCAGCCTGATTGACTGATGCATTAATTTATAAGTATATTTATAAGTATATATAAGTTCAGGTGAAAAATTTTTAACCTAGATTGATTCCCAATTACCTTTATCTCCAGTAATAGCCCTAATTATTCATGAAATAGGGCTAGGATACAAAGGAATTGAGAATCACCTTAGGTTAAAAAATTTTAAACTGAATTTAATTTTGACTCGTAACATATCGAAACTGGTTTTGTTATTGTTCAGAGTCTCAGAACTGGATAAAGAGTGAACAAGTGTGTAGATGTAGTGACCAAGAGTTTGATGATCTACTGAGTTCTCTTACAGCTGTTGTAAGTTTCTAAGTAGCAGTTTACAGCACTGTTTATAGCATACCGCCTCCCATTTTGCACTTACCTGTCGACTCTCAAGCATTGTGCATGAGTCCTTGGATGAATATTATTGTGCTTTAACACGTAAAATATTTAATAAAAATGCTTAATGTTGACTTTGTGGCCTAACTGTATCACAACACGCTAAAATTGTCACCTATTAAATAGCTTTGGAAATGCCCAAGGGAATCAGAACATCTTCAAATATTTTCAACAAGGTTCTGAAGTCTTCGAAGAATCATCCAAAATCTTTGGAAGTCGCTGGGACATTTTTAGAAATCCTGGTCATGGCAAGATGAAAATCTCAGACATTTGACTCAGAAAAAGTTGGCAGGACTATAGAACACCAGCCTTTCAGGTGGAAGGTCTCAGATTTGAACTACAGCTGGACCATCAAGCAGGGTCTATAAAACCTAGTAATATGATACTGGCGGAGATTTAAGTCCTTGGCTCAGTTTAAAAGATTGTGTCATAGTCTGGTAACATCAAGCTATTGGGGTTGACTCTTGACATTTTAAATTCTTCTTTTCTTCACAAAAAAAAACAAGGCAATTAATTAAAGGAGAATTCAGAAGCTTATCATAAGCCCTTTGGTATCAGCTGCATTAATTTGACTCTGAAGATGACTACCGCACGGGTTGTCGAATTGTCAGTCACTGTCAACAGAAACAGTCCTATCCAGGACTACGATCACCCGGACGTTCATATTCAACCTACGTACATGTACTTATGAAATGACTCCTCGGTTCAATCCTTTTGCAGTTTTAGTGTATAAAGGAGCGGTTTGACTTTACCATTCCCAGATTCAAATTTTGTTGTTAATTAATCATTTATTTATTCATTTATTTTTGTAGGAACTGGAGGCTACCACTCTTATTCTTCAAAGGCACATTGATTTAGAGCAACAAATTTGGAAATGTTTAGATAATCTTAAAACGGTGCAGAGGTATATTAAGCAAAAATGTGTTACTGCCTGTACTTTTTTCCTATTATTATTAGATATTATTATTATTGTTATTATAATGCCTTTATTTATCTTCGACAGTATTTAATAGCACGAAGGTTAGTGGGGCTGAGCAATGAACTCTTGCGAAAAACATTTAAATAAACATAACAGGGTTAAAAACTCCCTCTGGCTGGGCAAGCCAGTTGGCTGTTTTATAAGCGTGATCAAGGATTCGACCTTAGGACTACTGAGAAGAAAACCAGCTAGTTGTCAGGGTAGGTCTTCAACTCAGGGCCTCCAATTATGGAAGTCCAGTGCTTTAACTGCTCAGCCACACTGCCTTCCTCTTGCTGAGAATAGTGGAATTTTTGTTTTAACTTGTTGTAATTTATTTCATTGTGAATTGATTTTATTAGTGGATGGGAAGGAAAGACCATTGATGTCACTGAAAAACTTATTGCAAGTCAGACCAAGGTGGCAAGACTTAGAAGCAGATTATTACGTTGTATCACTCAGGTAACAAAAACGTGCTCGGAACCTGCATGACTTGTTTAGGAGCTGTGTCATGAAGTTTTCCAAAATTCAGACATGGGGAACTGTCACCAAACTGAGTGAAACTAAAAATAACTGCTTTAAACATTAAAAGAAGGTGTAAAGAACACTGACAGTAGATACAAAAGGACTTTCAAGGTCAATGTTGTAGCCAATTTGACCAAAAACCTGGTCAAGAAAGAATAATATATATTTCATTAATGGCGAGAAGAACATTTTTTGCAAGAGCAAAGTGAGTTATGGAGAAATAGCTCAATCTTTTCAGCTAGAGTTGTCAGTAACATTTATTTTAAAGACTAGAATCATTTTAATCATTTTCTGAATATTTTTTTATGTTATCATGTCTTCCAGCAACTTCACAAGAATGGATCAATGACAGTGAATCTCCCAGCTTGGTCAGGAATAGATGTTGATAATAAACAGAAAATGGAAAATCCTCTTGAAACAGAAAAAACAGAACAAGACATAAACACAAACGATCAGCCAGGTCCTGCTAAAGAAAATCCAGTTGAGTCCACAAAGCGAGAATTTGTCGAGCCTGGGGATTTAACGTATTCAAATGTTGGAGAGGTACAAGAGCTAAAGGCTGCACAATCTAACCGAGTGCCGCAAGATCACAGTGTGTCACCTCACAAGGAAGAGCCAGTGACCATGGAGAGTGGTGATAAAGAAAGCAATGTTTATGAAACTGTATCTCTAGAGCAAACTGGACCCTCGCAGCTAGTTCCACCTACAAAACCAATTCCCTATTCATTGTCAAAGAAGTTAAACAGCACTTCTGGTGGTGATGGTAGTGTGGGACAAACTGAAAAGGTACCAAGCGTGTTTTTCATGGTAACAAATTTCAATGGTACTTAATTTTTAATCATCTTCCTGTCCAGCTTGTTTACATCTAAGAACATGGTCTTCAGGTGAATTGCAATATTGTTACTGATTGCTTGCTAAATTGAAGTGTGTAGAAGTTTTACTTTGCCTGCCCTGCCCCCCACCCCCCCTGATTGCATGTGACGGTTAACTAATCAATCTTTGAGGAAGTCACTTCAAGCCCAACTATGGAATGTTCATAAATTTTCCCTGAGACATACAGGTTCATTGTACAAGCAAATTTATTCTCCCTCCTCCATAGTACAAAGAATGGAGGAGTGGGCTGGCTGCAACCCTCCTGTTTAGTTTTAGCTGCGTAATCATATGTACTTGTTGACTTAGTTAGGTTGAGCTTGACAGGAAAATATTTGGCCTAAGGTCATGGTTTATTATTAGACTGACTGCAACAAGGTCCATGTGCCATGACTGGCAGCCAAAATAATATTTTCCTGTCCAGCCTAACCTAACCTAACCTAGCCTGAGAAAACAGCCAACATTTTGCAATGCCACAACTGGTTTCCGTGCAACAAGATGTCTGAGCAACAACTGCAGAAATTCCATACTGATGACATTTTAACTGGTTGGTTGTGTTGCAAGATAAATTTGCTTCAACCAATCATTTCAGTACATATATATATACTGTAAGTACGGTAATTATTGTTCTGTTACTCAATTTATCTGCTACTTAGGTAGCATCATTATTACTACACGACACAGAATTATCATAAACAAGACAACATTTTAAACAGCTGACTCTTTGGATCAGTTAAACTACACAATAATTTTTCTTTGGACAGTTTTAATAAATGTGTATAAATGCAATCTATTTAAGTAAAATAAACAGCCGTGGAATCCTTAAAGAAGTCTCATCATTTGTTACGGCAGGATTTGTCATTGGAAAATGAAATATATTCAAGCACATGGCTTTCAGCACATTACTGATTAAGAAGAAAAAGACCTTGGTGCATATTGTTAACTGTTTTTTTAGTTTAAAATAGAAAATATAGGTGTTATTTCCTTTGATACATTGTATGTTTTTTCATTCATTCAAACAGGATGAAAAATCGACAGCAGATGTTGAGCAAGTAGATGTGGAAGATGCCTGGGTTGTAGAGAACCACCATATACAGGACTGGGATCCTGTAAGTACATTTATCAAAACACTCCTGACAAAATACCTTAACAAATGGAACCATGATTGAAATAGCCTACGGACCAACATAACATATTAGACCAAGAGTTGATTTACGTCATTCATACCATGTGATATATTTTTTGTGTATTTGGTATTATTATTTTGTTTTCAGCAAAGTGTGATAATTGTATTTGAACTTGAAATCTGCTTCGAATTTTGGTTTTTGTCTGTTTTAGCATTGAATATACAATCATGTACAAAGGTGTATTTATTATAACATTTTTTATGTTTGCCGTGCTCTTCTTTCACAGACACCTGTTCTGGAAGAGTTATTTGGGAATGTACACCCTTTGCCTACTCCGTTTGTTGTAAGTGCATCAGTCTTAATCTGATTAATTATTATAATACAGACATTTCTGCTGTAAATCAATGAGTGCTTACCATTTTGTAAGGAAATCCGGTTATTCTTCGGAAAATTCCAATGGAACAGCTAATCTCTCTGGAATTTGTTTTAAAAGAAAAATGCGGGGAAGATACTGTATTACCCTTTCCCGATTTTACCAAAATGACCGGAATTTTCTGTACCATTTGTTTGGAGTACCTGTGCCAGGCTTCATGTTGAGAGAAATAGAAAAAATTTACCGGTATTTTGTTACTGATACAACTCAATTGCATTCCCATTTTGGGCGCAAAAAAATAACAGTACAATTTTGTACATGTACCTTTCAACAGAAAATTTTCATAGAAAGTTTCATCAAAATGGTAAGCAGTTAACATCTACATTGTAAGTCTGCTGTTGCTGCTTCATAATTATGTACATGTGCGTTTACACCTTGATAATGTGATTTCTATTTCAGCCAACTACAGAACCCAAGGTTGATAATATTCGTATGGCTGGATACATGGAGAAGCTACCAGTTAAAAGTAATCAGAAAAAGGTACATGCAGTAATAAAAAACCCTGCCATGAGTATAGTTCACTGATCCCCCAGCCCCATCCCTCGTCTGCGAGGCACGTCTTCACCGGGAGAGATGTCTACGTTTTGACGACAGAAATTCCAGACTGATGACATAAATCAATGTTTACATAATAAATTCACTGGCCTGATTGCAAAATATACTATCTCCAGGCTATCAGATGCAACTTTCTTCGCAACACCCCCCCATGCTGTAAATTACTTTACTGATACATGTATCCTAATAGATATCTTTGGATTTTATCTCTCAGGGTATACTAATTAGGAGCTGGAAAAAACGTCATTTTAAGGCTGTCAAAGGAAAACTGTACTATTATGAGGTATCCAAATTGAAATTTATAAAAAATCTCACCAAGGTTCAAACTGCAGTTATGTAGTGATTAAGGCTAAAGCTGTTCCTTTATGTCTTTTCTTTGTTTTTAAAACAGGATCATCGTGTTTTAGAACCATTAGGATTTATAAACCTGACCAACTGTTCGGTAAGATGAATTTACCCTTTAACTAATCCACTTGCAAATTCTCCAGACTGAATCAATATATTTCTTATAAAATTAGTGGATGTTTTTGGTGGATATGTGGGTTGAGTTTGCTATTGGTTCACTCCCATGCTCCAAGAGGTTTTGCTCCGGGTACTCTGGTTTTCCCCTCTCCTCAAGAACCAACATTTCCAAATTCCAATTTGATCTGGAACGCACAGACACGTTTAAACGAGTTCATAAGAACTGCTAAGTGCTTCGTTGGTAAACAAATTATTGTTAAGAGATCAAAGTATTTTCTCTTTAGTGACTGTGATCATTTTATTTTTTCAACCTTTATTTTGAGTATGTACGGATAATTGTTTTGAGAAAATTAATTTGACGTTGGTCACCTCTGGGACTTAAAGGGTGGACCTTTTTTGTTTGTTAAACTAAAGTGCGTCATACAAGTTAGATATGCAATTTATAGATGGCCAAAGTTAAAAGTTGATTGGTTTTGTGTCATCAGGTAAAAGTTGAAGATAAGTTGCTGGATGTTGTGGAAGAGGTAAGTAAGCAGTCTCTGCTAGCCTAACCCTACTCTCCCCTCCCTCGCAGCTGTTTATGTTTTGTCACGCAACGCTTCTCCTGGGAAAGAGCGTTGTGTGACAGGACAACAACTGCTGTGTGGGACACTAGCCTGGCTTAGTCTCTGTGGCCGGTATTGTTTATTTGTGCCTCTGTAGATTAGATAATGTTAAGTTCATGGCGTCGTTACATGTGACCTAGTGTTTACTGGCTGTATTTTCAGGGTGTGAAAGGGAAGTCCGTGAAGCTGAGATGTGCTTCGGTTAAAGAAGCAGAAGACTGGAAAGAAGCTCTCGAAGCTGAGTCAGCAGCGTCTGTGGATAGCAGCACTGTTCCAGAAGAATCTTCAGCAACTGAGGTACTTATGAAAATAAGCTTGAGGATTTGTTTAGTTTTGCAAAAATGTTAGTTTTGGTTTCCTACGTGATTGGTTGAAGAATTTCGTGCTTCTTTCTCAACCAGTCTAAAATTGACGTGGTCGTTTTTGCGCGCTTGACGGTTGTTGCCTGTACCGCGTGAGTTCTGATTGAGTGTTTTGGTTCTCCTGTGTAGATTCGATTGACAGTGTTCTATTTTGACCTTTCTCCCAGGTACAAAAGACTATAATGTAGACAGTTCTTTCTGCTGGTGTTCTAAAAGAACACTCGTTTCTAAAAGTAGATCGCAACACTCTTCTTTTATACTTGAATTAGGTCCGTGTTTCACTGTTCGTCACCAGCAAACAATGTATGAATGTGACAGCTAGAGATGTAGAATTTATCTACACGCCCTTTGGCAAGTAGAAAATACATGTATGAATGCATTACTGTTAGTAACAGTTAAAGAAATTTCCCCTAAATTGCAGGGCTTAACTATCATTATTGACTTGGGTTCAAGTTCAGTCAAAGCTGGGTTTGCTCAAGAAAATGGTATGGCTTTATTTATTTATTTTTATCTTTTCAATAACCGTTTTGTTTTCAGCAACTTACTCTTGCAAACTAAGGATAAAGCTCGCGCTAAAATAGTATTCGCCCGGGCTTTTGAAAAACGGCCAGAGACGCAATGTCTTGTATAAAATTAGGTAGCAATGCGTTACAAAATACTGTGCCAAACAATCTCAGTTGATAAAGAAGTTTATAAAATTAATACATCACTGATCAACACGAAAAACAGGTGGGGATCATTCATGATGCCTGACAGGAAAGTCGAGCAGGAACAAACTGATGAATTTTGTGTGTAGATGTATTTTTCCTAACAACTAATTCGTCTTTCTTTCTGTCTCTTTTGTTCATGTGCTTTTTGCTTAGCTTGGCCTCAAGTGATATTCCCATGTGTCATTGCTATGGATAAAGAGAATCCGTAAGTTTCCATTCACGTTGACTCTCCAAGGTTATGAATGTTCCTGTATTATGGTTTCTTCACAAGAACCCTGTTGTTTGTTTGTGTTTGAGGGCACTTTCCATAAGGCAAGACCAGTTAATTCATTAGTATTGTCCTGCTCCTAAATGGTACATATACACCACAGTCATGGTTGTTGAGTAAAAAATATGGAAAGCAGCCTGTTTCATTTTCAAACCGACCTGTTCGGACCGTTGAAGACAAGCTTGAAGTGGGCGTGGAGCGTGGAGCGCGAGACACACTCGCGACAGTACTCCACGTACGCTTCAAGGTTGCCTTCGCTTGTCTGAAAAACGCGATAATATGACGCCTTTTCTGCACGCAGGCTAACCTTTGCTAAGCGTCCTTACCTTGTTTTGTCGTGTTTGTTTGTTCTTGTAGAGAAAACTGTAAATACGGGCATGGTGCTCTTCTTCCAGAAACAAGAAAAACATCAAGTCTGCGTTTCCCATTAAGAAAATCGCTGAAAATTGACAAGGTAAGATTGACGACCGCCTTGTGCGAAAAGACAGCGTTACCTGCGCGTTAGAGGCATAAAAAGAATGGGGTTCAAATAGGCACACATTGCCCGTGCGCCCGTTACATAGACTGAAGACATCTGTGTAGAAAAGTTCTTTTCATCGGCTCCCTTTTCAATAGTCTTGGAGTAACAACAATATTGTACCATGATAATAGACAGCTCCAGGGCTTACAATCTGCCGCTCAGTAACTTGTTTTGAATTGTTTTTCTGCTAGTACATTTGAACCTCCAGTCCATTAAGCGGCCACCCTCAGTTAAGCGGCCTGTAATCAAAGTCCCGAAATAAGTGTGGAAAAGAATGGGAAATTAAACCTCCTATTAAGCGGCCACGGTCACCTTTCTGCCGTCCCAACGAGAGTTCTCCCATTGTTGTCACCTCAATTAAACGGTCATCACGCACTTTATACACTTAGTCTCGCTTCATTTCAAGAATAAGATGAAGGAAAATACAGGCCGAGATAGAAGGTGACGACCGATTGTGGACCAGTAATGCTTCTCCAGTCGCTCGTGCGTTTGTCGCAAAATAAATCAATGTTTCTGCTAAAGATTTTGCTAATTTATGACAAACCTCTGTCAAGCGGCTAACCTTTATTAAGTGACTTCTTGCCGGTACCCCGAGGGTGGCCGCTTAATGTAGGTTTAACTGTATTCTAAAATTTGTCTGAAGCAAATGGCTAACTGCGAAGCTTCTGTCTCTTTTCAGCTCAAGGTCCATACAATGGATCTAATAGGAATCCTGGAACATTTGTTTGACAAACTCAAAGTTGATCCAACTAAACACAAGGTACAAACTGCATTAGAATCACTTTGCATTTATAGCTCACAGCCAGGTACCAGTGCTTGTTGCTATGGGCTGTTTTCAAATTGAGCCTAAGACTGGGTCGGGGTTCTCTGGAATTGTACTCTGGGACCGTTTTGGAGATGCTTCTTTCATTTGCCAATTTAGAAACGAGAAGGAAACTGGGCCGAGTTAGCTTTCGCAAAGAATTATGGGACTGTTACTAGGGACAGGGAAAACGGCACGTTTCCAGTAACTATCCCAGAAACAATTGTGGGATGCATTTCGGTTCCATTTCCCTTCTCGGTTCTAAAGTAGCGAACTGGCTTTTTCAAAGTTGCGTAGGAAACTGGGTCTGCTTTTGCCACCCAAACAGTGCGATGATACTACTCAACAATTGCAGCCTCGATCCTGTTTCAGGCCCAAGCTCTAACTAGCCAATCGGAACAGAAATGGTAATGTTTGTTCCATTGCAGGTTATAATGACGTTACCACATGGCTCAGGGCCACAGGAAAAGGTAGGCAAACGAGTTTAGAGGTAGAAACTTCTAAACAGAAGAGAAAAGTCCTAGAGTTTATCACTCAAACATTCTGAATACCCTGCGGAACATTTTCATCCGATACCAATATATAACAATGACACAGAAATGTACGTATTGTATCATTTTTATTTGACTCCTTTTGTTAGAGATTCTGACATTCCCTAGCCTGCGCCTCTGCTCGCAGGGTAGCCGCTCACGACACCGAGTTTCTACAATGTACCATCCCATGTTCACGCTATACCAGACACAGGCGGTCCAAACTCACGTTACGAAAAAAAGGTGTAAAATAATTTAGATGCCACAGGTGACTTTTGTCTTTTGCACCGATGATGCTTAACTAGACGCACTATCACCTGTAATTTTGTACTGTTCATAATGGCCGATATTTATCTTATGGACCTTGTATTTTTTCTTATCTGTAACACAGGAGGAGCTTGTGGAGATATTGTTAGATCACTTCCAAGTAGAGGCTTGTTACCTCCAGGAACAGGCTGTGTTGGCCATGTACTCTTACAGTGCTATTTCAGGAATAGTTGGTGAGTTGTACAGTTTTATGCTGCATCCTCTTAGACTATGAGCAGCCTTTCTTTTTTCTTAATCCGTCGAGCATAACGCGCAAGAGACGAAAATGATCACGCGCGTGGCGCGTTGCGTGAGGCGAGAAGAGACTGCTCGTAGTCTAACATCCTCTTGAGCAGGGTTGTAAAAAAGGTTTTAGGTCGCAGGAGAATAAAAGAAAGTAGCCACCATGTGTTTCCCGACGGGGCCGGTAGGGGAAGACATATCACTATTGATATAAACAGTTCAATCCAGGTTAGTAGCAGCTGTCAAACATGATAGCATCAATACTGCGTCTGAATTACCAAGTGAAACTTTGATGGAAGCATGCAAAGAAGCCGGATGGAAAGTGAGAGGCAGCAAAATTAAATGCAAATCAGAAATAAAATGGTTCGATCAGGAATGCGAAACAGAAAACCTGCAATCCCTTGGGGACAAAATTTCTCATTACATTAATAATTAAAAACTGAGACAACTACTGCGAGGCAAAAAGAAGAGGTTCAAACAAACTTGTTGACGGAAGAAACGGGAGTCTATCAGCAAAGCCATGTCTAATATCGATATGCGGAGCTTGAAAGGGACCTGGCGACAGATAGGAAAAATCTTTAACTTAGGAAAAAGAAAAACACATGAAACTGAAGCATTGAGTACGGAACAGTTTTATAAATACTTTTAGCAACAGAATGCGACCCCTCTCAATAATATACTAGATCTGGAGATGAATATTGAAAGCCACAGTAACGAAAAGAGTAGAAGGCCCAATTGATTATCCAATAACTGATGAAGGGTTCAAAGCCGCAATTAAGAAACTGAATGCAAACAAATTTCCAGGTATCAATAATATGTTAAAGGAACTAATAAGGATCGGAAAGGAAGCCATTAAAGGGCATTTAGTAAATTTATTTATTCCAATCTTATATACTGCCAAATATCCTGCTCTTTGGAGTTTTAGCCTCATTGTACCTATTCATAAGAAGGATGATCGATCCACTAGGAATATGTGTCTCCCACGAGGGGGAAAACACATCAATAAGGATATGTGTTTCCCAGGTGAGGAAACACATAATTATCACTAGGGATATGTGTTTCCCAGGTGGGGGAACACATATCACTAGGGATATGTGTTTCCCAGGTGGGGGAACACATAACTCAAGGGATATGTGTTTCCCATGTGGGGGAACACATATCACGAGGGATATGTGTTTCCCAGGTGGGGGAACACATTTCACTAGTGATATGGTTTTTCCAGGTAGGGAAACACATATCACTGGGGATATGTGTTTCCTAGATGGGGGAACACAGATCACTAGGGATATGTGTTTCCCAGGTGGGGAAACACATTCCACTAGGAATATGTGTCTCCCACGAGGGGGAAAACACATCAATAAGGATATGTGTTTCCCAGGTGAGGAAACACATAATTATCACTAGGGATATGTGTTTCCCAGGTGGGGGAACACATATCACTAGGAATAAGTGTTTCCCAGGTGGAGGAACACATATCACTAGGGATAAGTGTTTCCCAGATGGGGGGAACACATATCACGAGGGATATGTGTTTCCCAGGTGGGGGAACACATTTCACTAGTGATATGGTTTTTCCAGGTAGGGAAACACATATCACTGGGGATATGTGTTTCCTAGATGGGGGAACACAGATCACTAGGGATATGTGTTTCCCAGGTGGGGAAACACATTCCACTAGGAATATGTGTCTCCCACGAGGGGGAAAACACATCAATAAGGATATGTGTTTCCCAGGTGAGGAAACACATAATTATCACTAGGGATATGTGTTTCCCAGGTGGGGGAACACATATCACTAGGAATAAGTGTTTCCCAGGTGGAGGAACACATATCACTAGGGATAAGTGTTTCCCAGATGGGGGGAACACATATCACGAGGGATATGTGTTTCCCAGGTGGGGGAACACATTTCACTAGTGATATGGTTTTTCCAGGTAGGGAAACACATATCACTGGGGATATGTGTTTCCTAGATGGGGGAACACAGATCACTAGGGATATGTGTTTCCCAGGTGGGGAAACACATTTCACTAGTGAGATGGCTTTCCCAGATGGGGAAACACATATCACTAGGGATATGTGTTTCCCAGGTGGGGGAACACATATCACTAGGGATAAGTGTTTCCCAGGTGGGGGAACAGATATCACTAGGGATAAGTGTTTCCCAGGTAGGGGAAGACATATCACTAGGAATAAGTGTTTCCCAGGTGGGGGAACATATATCACTAGGGATAAGTGTTCCCCAGATGGGGGAACACATATCACTAGGGATATGTGTTTCCCAGGTGTTGGAACACATTTCACTAGTGATATGGGTTTCCCAGGTAGGGATATCCAGGCCGGTTTTTTGCGCATTTTGACATCCCGGTTCTTGAGTGGGAACTCCCGTTAAAAATAAAGGTGGCATCCTCGTTTCTCAAATGGGGTCCATGATTTGATTTGTAGTTTGGTCCTAAACTTCTTTCGTCTCCAGGGCTTTTCAGCTAGAACTTGGGAGGGGCGGAAAAGACCTGGGTATGAGGTTGACTCTCCTTTGTAGCCACCTAACCCATCCTGTATCCTCTCGTTTTGTAATCAATCATGTTTTACACTGAGATAAAAAAAAATTGTTCTTATTCTTTTTTTTGTTATCATTTTCAGTGGATATTGGGGATCATATCGACGTTATCCCGGTAGTTGAAGGTAAAAATCGCCTTTTATGTTTTCCTTAAGTTCAGATCAAGTCACTAAAATTATCAATTTGTTTTTTATTCAACAAAAAAGAGTATTAATGGGAAACCTTTTCCAGGAATTGGCACCCAAATTTCTGACAGTTAAGAAGAGTCAAAGCTACTCCCTGTAGGAATTTTTTGGTTTTTTTTTTTTTGCTGCACTTGCAAAGATGCTTTTTTGCTAATAAGACCTATTGTTGTTTTTCACCGTTCTCCGGCGTTGCCTTCGCCGCTTAGCATTACTCGATTCTATATTTCCTTTGAACAAACTTTAATTATTATCGAGAGCTTCGTTTTTAGCCCTGGCTAAATCTATATATTACTAAACCGTAAAATATTATAACTCAATGCAGGGTGTATGATTGAATCTGGGACTACAAGGCTTCCATACGGAGGAAAGCAGATTACAGACAGTTTTACAAGACTACTGACAGAGAAGGGAGTACGGTAAGACACAGCCAAATAATAAGTTGTTTTTAATTTGGCGTCATAGCACCTACTTAAAGTAATTACTTTGGCCAACGAACCAACAGGAGCTGCAAGCAAACACCTCTAGCTACATCTTGAACAAAGCTGTTGCGGAAATTGTATACATGGGGAGTATTTTCTACACATCGTAACCGTACCGATTCTCCCCCCCCCCCACTTCCCCCTGGAAGTAGTATTGCTGGGTCTCCCAAAGAAAGCCGGATCCCTGAGCGTTTGTAGGAAGCCGTTGATTTGGAAGTAGTTTTGTCGCTTTAGGTAGTGCGCATTGACGAAAAAAATTTCTCAAGTATTTTTGTCCCGGATTGTGGCGTGTAGTTCGAGTACACGCAAGGAAGCAGCGTCTTGTTCTGGTTTGTTGCTTGGAAAGTGGCGCCAATTTTCGCCAATCGTCAGTTCAGTTGCGAAATCTTCGCGCGTTTTTCAAAGAATGTTTCTACCCTGGCTTTGAGAGGTATCTTTCTTGCGTGGTCGTGATTGCGTCGGAGATGGCCTGAAATCGGTTGAGCACTGAAAGAAAAGCTTGCGGCATCCACTCTAGATACGTTCTTCTGATAATTTTCCTTTTCTTTTTCGATGTTAGGTTTTTTTCAGAAGTGGAATCCTACATCTCTAGAGCCATCAAAGAAAAGGTATTAAAGCCACCACAACCACGCAAAACTAACGAGTACGACCCTCCTTTCTTTAAAAAGCCACGCCTGCAGGTCTCATTTGGTGAGAGTTCTTGACACATATTTTCTCTTTCTTAATGTCTTACCCACTCTTGGTTTTCAGGTATCGTTTGTCGCGAGACAAGTAGATCAAGAAGAAGAAGAAGTAGATTGTTCAATGGTCGTGGATTTGGGAAAGTACTCTATTCCTGACGGAACGAGGTATCTTTTTACACTTGGCTTAACTGGTGTGGTTTGGAACTATGTATCGCTGATAGTTTTTCGTTACCCTTGGCTAAAAATTCTCTATGCTTTTCCCCTGGCTAGAAATCGCTGGCAAACCAACCATTCCAGCTGATATAAATGTAAAAGGACAGTCGCTTGAAGGTTGAATGTGTTAGTGAACCAAAATTTGCTCCAAACGTTTTAAAAACGGGCTAAACTTTCTGGAAGATGTTGCCTAGGTGTTACTTGACTAATCTGTGTTTTGAACAGGGTTCTTACAGAGTCCTTAATTCTTGACAAAGTCTCCAAATTTTCAGACCAGTTTTCCAGGCCTGGAAAAAGTTTGAAACGTAAAGATGAAGTCTAGAAAAGCGGGGGAAAAATTGGCTTTTTTAAAAACTGCACTGATTGGTTTAAAAAATTTTTAACCAATCAGAAGTCTTTTAAAGCGTCTTTTAAAACTGGTGTCCTTATCAGTCTAAACGCTTTGTCACATTATTTCTTCTCCTTTCTCAAGGGAAGTGACCGTAGACTCTGCAAGACACCGCTGTACTGAAGGACTGTTTAAACCGTCCGTCTGGGGTAAAGATAATCCGGGAATTCATGAGTTGACAGTCAAAGCCATCATGGCCTGCAGTATTGACATGCGCAAACAAATGTGTCGAAATATCTACCTGAGTGGGGGAGGGTCCATGTCTCCAGGTTTGTTTTCGAAAGTTTATCATAACTAGAAGCGCGTTTGCGGGTGACATAAAAAAAATCCCAACCAAGAATTATCAAGCCCTCTGACGTTTTAGTTGCGTTATAAATTGGAGCAGCATTTCTTCGTTTTGTGATAGAGCACGTGTCTATTTTTTGCGTCATGAAACATTGAAATGTAAACCGGAGTTGTTTCACTCAAGGAATTTTTGAATACTTTACTTAACAGTCAGAGCAGATGATGAAAACCCATTACCCCGGTAGTACTGTGTCTACTGTACTGTCATCTGCATTTATTACGAGTGACAGCGCGTTAGATTTAGGTTTGTTTTTAAGGTTTTTCTTCTCATAAAATTCGTTAACTCCGCCTTAGGCTATTACTCCATTTCTACTCAGTGCTCGTAGAACTACACTACCTGAAAACTTTTAGGTGTCAATAGAGAGGAGAAGTCGTTACGTCACTTTGCTATGGTAGCAAACTTTCTGGATCGCAACAAACCGTGGTCCTGCAAATATGGCAAGAAAAAAACGAAAAAATTGGCATGACATTTATGACTTACTCTTAGGAACAAAAGGGTAGCCCATAAAATTCTTCCATCGTTCCACAATGTAATTAACCGTCTCTGTCAAGAAAGATTGTTAAGATCCAGACCATGGTACCATGGTAACGTGACGTCACACCTCTTCTCTCTACTATCAGAACTTTGCTGAGAAACTGCTTGCTATCATCAGATAACGAAATGATTGCACCGAGTGCATGTTTTGTTATCTGTTTTTCACTCCTGAATTATTTTCCCTTGATTATCGTTATTATTATTTTTTCATTATAAGGTCTCGCTGAACGGCTCCAAGCGGAAGTAAGCCAGCTTACGCCTTTCAACTCACACGTGCAGGTAAGAAATAACAGGAAACGTCAAAAGAACAGTAACACCAAGATACATGATGACCTTTGATTCATGGTTAATGGTCGATCGCACTTTAGTGCTGAAAATTGTACTTCATCTGTCTTGTTTTGACATCGATCTAGAATGTACAAAAGGCACGTATGAAGAATGAGACGTCTCACGTCTTCCCAAATCCGCCCTTTAAGCCTTTAAACCCTAAGATCAAAATTGAGATTCTCATTTACTGTCCCTATACTTTTTCAATAGAAGTAGTGGGGAGAATTTGTTGAAGTATCAATTAGACTCATCTTCCCTGATCATATACTCAATTGTCATGACCACTCTGTTTTCTAAAGCATTGATATTATAAGGAGAAATTTGATGCCGATCACTCTTAGGGCTTAAAGGGTTAATGCTAGGTCATAATGGTTTTCACTTGCGACGCAAACACAAGCATAAGTGTCTTGCGTTGCATCAAGTGAATTGAAACGAGCACAAGCACCTGAAACGCAAACATCGTGATTAAGTGCGCTTGGGCCGTTTTTACGATGAAGTAAGGACTCTGATGTTTTCGCCCATACCCTTTCTTGTGTTTCAGTCGCTAGTGGATAGCGCTATCCACGCAATAAACCACTATCCAGCGGATACGTGTTAGGGAAACAAACTGCGCCATCTTATGAATAGAAACTTATCTAGTGAACAGCGTCGATTTTTTCTCCTTTGAACAACTGAGGCCATGATATTAACTCTTGCTGTCGCTTTCGCTGTTTTTATCTGTCGCTTGGGTGAGAAAAAAAACATTTTTCTTTTCATTCTACGAGTCGCAAAACTCAAACGCGCATGCGCAAATCTTTCACAGCAAGATTTCTTCACCTACTTAACGGTCTGTTTTTCGTTACCTTGGAAACCAGGTTCACGCAGGAGTTGAACGTCAGTACGCTGCGTACATTGGAGCCTCAGTGGTTGCCAAGCTCCCTCTGTTCACGGAACTGTGCGTGTTTAAAGAGGACTGGGATGAAAGTGGTCCGGACGCTCTGGAAAAATGGCTAACGTTATAACTGGCTGTTGTTTTCTTGCGTAAACGAATGTAGAGACATATCATAACAACGTAACACTGCCACTCGTGAGATCAAAATTGAAGACAGATAAGCCCATTTTGAAAGACAGAAACAATGGACTTTTTCAGCTAAGGTGATTTTTTTGGGATAACAGAGAGGTCCCCGGTCGTTTCGCTACAAGTCATTTCGCTGCATTATGATGTTGATTTGCTGCAAAAATGTTTTTTCGTCTCGCTGCATAATAAAATGAATTCCCTTCATAACAAAAGTTAAGTCCCTTAATACCATGAGTTTATGGCAATGATATTTTCATGGGATCCTTCTTCCAAAATCATTTTCCTCCACGTAGTTTTGGGGGGAGGAGGCGGGGGGGGGGGGGGGTGTCTGTGTTTTCCAGATTTTGTCGGAGTTTTCTAGACAAAAAACGAAACGACCTTGCAGGGAAACGACTTTGTCAGGAAATGACCGCTAAATCTTACAGTGACTTTGTAAACCATATAACCAATTATTTTCTTGTAATCGGCAAACAACCCAAACGCGTACTATTGTCTATAGATTGAATGCACAGTCAATTTATATCGGCCTTATAGTGCATAAGTTAAGACATCGACATGGGATTTTTCCGTTAAAAAACGAATTTTGAGCTCTAGAACTAAGATTAATTTCCACAACCGGCCAAATTTGTTCAAAAACAGTAGTAAGGTTGCGGTTTTGTAATGCAGTAAGGCAATGTAGTTGGCGTCATAGGACGAATAAATTTTGTGGACAGTGATCTTTGTCGCTTGTGTGCATGTCGTATTCGGTTTTTATTTGGAACTCGGCCTCCTGCATGAAAGCTTAATGTGTGACCTTCGAAAAAACACACTGTTTAATAACTATTTCGGTTTTGAAAGACTAGGAAGTTGTATCTCTGGAAGGGGGGCCATTATTTCCCAAACGTGGTTATGGCATCATCGTTTAACCCGGGCGATCTTCCTGTATTCACAGCTATGAGTAAGTTAGCTGTACCAAAAGAGAATATTCTCTCTTTCTGTACCCACACGTGACTACTGGTATCCGTATCAGAACAGGCTATATGTATAAGGAACCAAAACTTCTGAGAACTCAGCAACCAAGATCCAAGAATGAATACGCAACCTCGTTCCCATAGAAAGACTCCCTCTCTTGTTCCGCAGGCACAACTAAGAGAGGACCCTGGGAACGAGGTTGATGAGTGTGGCTGCGTCGACTTCGTCGTTCAGAGATTCAGGTCAAGCACTAGCCCTTGGTAACCTCTCTTACCCTTCGTCAGAACGATTCGTTCCGAAGATAGGCTGGCCGTAGAGAAGTAGATATGAATGTTAATTTCCGCGATTATGCATGTCTGCAATTTAAATGAAGCTAAATGAGTTACCTCCTTGTGCTTTGTCTTGACGATTTTAGTGAACTTATATTTTTCACTGAGGAAAACTGTGAAAATAAAACTTCAAAAAGAGGCCCTTCATCTGACTCTCTTTTACTCATTTCCTAATTTCTCTATTTCAGAATTCAAGGAAAAAAAACTATGTTCGTTACATTGACTTCCTGTCAAATTTCGTGTTGATTTTAAAATACTCCTTCTTACTTCTAAAGCCTTTCTACGGTCCGTGCGCCTGGTTACTTGATTGACTTGATTGCTATTATAGAACAGCTGCGCTATATCTCCGTTCAGCCAGCGGTCTTATCTTAAAGACTGAAAAAGATTTTAGTAGATCGTGCCTTTTCATCTGCGGTCCCCGAATTTATGTAACAATCTTTCCCTTCACTTCGTCTTGACGACAATTTTGAATGTTTTAAATCTTTACTTGAAACGCATCTTTTTAGACTAGCATGTGATATGTAATGTTTTTCACCTGCTTTGTAATATATTTAGTCCTTTAATTTTTATTTAAATTTTTGGCCTTGTTTACTTTTTAGCCTTAATTGCTATGTTCATTTTAGCTTTTGTTTTCTTTTAACATTTAAAGCGTCAGTTGTTCTCTTCTGCTTTCCCGTCATCCCCTGCTCCCGCCGTGCGTTACGCGTGAAGACGACTGGGGACGAGTCAATGTTTGAATAATGTATTTAGTTTTTCGTTGAAACACTATTGAAGCTGTGATAGCTTTAGATCTGTTCGATCCTTTTTTCTCTAGCTCTCTCCCTCTCTCTGTGACGTCTATCTTTCTTTCCCTAGCTGTGAAAGTAAATTAAATTACCAAGAAAATTCTACTCAGCCACAGCGTCCTTATTTATAATTAATATTTGCAGCGGTTTCTTAACATAACTGGATCACCGTTAATTAAGCTTTCCAGGCTTCATAAACAATCATGCGTCAATAAAGAAAAAGAATATGAGTTTTCATTGAAAAATTGAGACAGGTGCAACAAGACTTACGTAATTTTTTAAACACGACTGAATATATGCAAAGTGCGAATTTTTCATACTGTCAGGCAGAAGGTCAGAAATTTGCTCACACCTTGGTATATGGATTTGGTTGAGTTCATGGGCTTTTTTAAGCTCAGTGCGGTTGATGGATTATTTACAAGGTGTTAAAAGGTAACGGTAACTACGGCAGGACATCGTAGTTTCGCCATCTGCTTAAGTTATAAGCCATGAAGTGATCAAGTCGCTCCATATGTCATATGAACAAATTCAGAAGAAGTTAATGCAGTATTTTTGACGAGCCATTCCGCCCTTGAATTCAAAACCGTTTCCAAAAGTTAACTGAAATTGTAACTCCACCTTGTAAATTACCAATAGGTTCTTTACAAACTCCGTACCATGTCTACAACAAACACGACTAGCGGAAATTGGCAGTTTAACTTGGACAATATTATGTACATTGTCAACAGCTTCTTGTCCTATTCCAGCATTATGCTAAACATTGTAGCAATACATGCCCTCAGAAAGACACTTTCGCTACCAACAACGTTAAAAACATTGCTTCTGAGCCTCGCTGTTTCTGATCTTGGTGTAGGATTGCTTGTCCAACCTTGGCGCATAGCAGGTTTGGCAATGGGGCTACTTCAACACGACGGACGACCAAACTTTACCGTGTATATCGCTTATAAAATAACGATGAATGTATTTTATTATGCCTCATTCCTTGGTGTCATGGTTCTAGCAGTAGAGAGATTCTTGGCCATTCATCTTCATCTCCGATACCAGAGACTTGTGACTCACAAGCGTGTTGTTACCATAGTGATCTCACTTTGGGTGATAAGTGTGTTCCTTTCGTTGTTTATGTTAGAAATTCGGAAAGTCCGCCTTGTTATTTATACCACTGTTGAAGTTTTGTGTCTCATATCTACTGCATTGTTATTCTTCAAGATTTATTTAACTGTTAGACGACACTCGAGGCAAATACAGTCTATACAACCCGCGGGAGGGCAAAATAGTGTCTCGCGAAAGAAAACATCTGCCGTTGCTACGCTTTACGTGTACCTTGTGTTTTTGGCGTGTTACCTACCACAAAACTGTCTACAGATAGCCTCTATCAGCCATGGATCTCAAGATACCCTGTATGATAATTTCGAAATCTATACTTTGACGCTGGTGTTTCTTAATTCGTCTCTCAATCCACTGATATACTGTTGGAAGATGAAACAAATTCGAAAGGCTATTTTGAACGTTCTGCGAAATATGAATCCAAGACACAACTAACGAAATCAATTAGGAAATTCAAAATCGAATTAGCAATGTAAGGAACGTTTTTTGTTATACTCTGCTCAACTTGTTGTAGCATGTTTCAGGCGTTCGGATAGTGAAGTGCTGCGCGAAGGAAGCGAGGGAGAAAAAAATCACCTTGTTTCTTTTTCTGCTCGCATCTCTTTGCGCTATCCCGACGATCTGAACGACTGGAATAGGCTAATCTTGTTGTGATCATTAACCTTGACTAGAACAGAAAACATCGGTAACCCTTACAGTTTTAAAAAAACCCTTAGCATTTTTCTATGTTGAATTTCAGTGCCCCCGCAGGGGTTTCGCCCAGAAGGCGGAATCAAAGAGGCATCCTAGTAGCTCGCGCGTATATAAAGGAAAGTACTTTCAGTTAAAATAGGTAGTCGGTCTACCAGAAAAATCTCAATTTGCTTGAACAGGGGCCGCGCCGAATCGTTGAGTGATGATGACGTTTTAATGCTAAACAAGGCTGCACGCCCGCAAGTAAATATAAGAAATGGTTGGGATGACGTAAATCAGGAAATTCGCAAAGGGACCGCTTGGGTTGTCACTTGTTACCTACCACAAAACTCTATTCTGCCATTCCTGAGCCGGAAAACAGGGTAGATTGATTGAGCATTTATTATTGTATACTATGACGCTTGTGTATGTCAATCCACTAATATACCGTTGGAAAATGAAATCCATTCAACAATCTATCATGAGCATTCTACGAAAAATCTTTTCCAGTTACAACTTATGAAAACCGCTTACAGCGTTCTCTGTTCTATATAGAATAAAACGGAGTGTGCATTTCAACTAAAAGCGTTCTACATATAGACACTTGTATACTTTATTTAACCTCGAATTTAGAGTAGCTAAAGATAAGCTAGTATCTTCGAGTTACAGGTATAGTGCTAAATACCACTAAAATTGTGAAATTGATAACAATCTAAAACTTTAAACTACTAAAACGAGTCATACTGCAGAATCTTGCACTTGAAATCAGAAAAGTTAGGTGTTCTTAAAGAATCCGGAAGAGAGTTCAGTAGTTTTGAAGCCATGCACGAAAAGGAGTGAAGATAAGAAGGAGAACCGTATTTATTCGAATAAGCCCCCAACCTCGAATTAGCGCCCACCTCGAATAAGCGCCCATACTAAAGGCAGAAAATGTTAATAAGCGCCCAGCCTCGAATAAGCGCCCACCCCAACCCACTCCCTCCCACAAAAACTCCAATAAGAGATAATAAGAGACCCTCCCGAAGACGGAGTTTTCTTCAGATTATTTATTATTACAGAAACCTTGCTTTGCTACATCTTTGCTTTTCGTTAATACCATTTACTGTTTTATGGAAAAATATACTACTACACTTGCTGAGAATGGTGAAAATTTTATAAGCGCCCAGCCTCGAATAAGCGCCCACCTCGAATAAGAGCCCACTTTCAAGGCCCAAAAATTTAATAAGCGCCCAGGGCGGTTAATCGAATAAATACGGTAGTTTTCCGGAGACGGTAGAGACAAAACACAATTCCCGCGTAGACTCTGGGATGTGGACCGGAGAATAAACATATATTTCTTAGATAGCCTGGATAGCAGGTTTTTTATGCTTAGTAAAAATCTTAATTAACACATGCGTTTGAGAAACTATTTATTATTAATAATTCCCTTACTTTTGTCCATCAATAATAATGTGGAAGATATAAAAATTAATAATCTCCCCTCTGCGGGGCTTTTGCACGTAAACAGCCTTATTAAAAAATGAACGAACTTTGTCACAGTTTTGTCATACAGTGGAACCCCGTTAATACGGTCATCAATGGGTCCAAAAAATTGTCTGTATTAAAGGGGTGACCGTATTATAGGGGCAGGCTCAAATTTCATGACTTGAGGGCCGTAATGACAAAGTACATTTAAATTTTCTAAATTTTGAACAAGTGGCCGTATTAACGGGGTGAAATGACAAGAAATTCTACTGTTTGGGATTTTAAAATGTGTCCGTTGGTCGTGTATAACGGGTGACCGCATTAACCGTGTTTTTTTTAAGGAAATGTAGGGCCGTTTTTCCGGGCCGCAAAAAAGTGGCCGTAATAAGGAGGTGACCGTAAGGCGGGGTTCCACTGTAATTTGTAATAGCTATCTTAAAGGCGCTGTGACGTTACGGCCCCTCTAATTTGTAAAACTTTGCGTCATACTTTGCAATAACAAAGCGACAGTAATAAAGCAAGAAATGGTAAGATTTGTAATAACTTTGCGTATAAATCGTAATTTGCGGATTGTTGGTTATCCATCTTCATCTTCGATACCATAGTCTCGTGTTCTTACTTTTGTGATATTAAGTTGGATAGTACGTGTTTTGCTTCCGTGAACTGCCCTGTCGACAAGATAATCCGGCGATAAGAACCATTGGTAAAGTATTACGACAGGCTTTCGTAAGAAGGAGGATCAAAGGAAGGAGGCGGAGCATCTTGCTGAGGAATGCCATAAGGTGCAGGATACGGCACCTGTAAGGGCGGCGCCAGGGGGGCTGCAGCAGGATCGTACATAAAATATATACTATCGATATCAACTGGATCATATCGGCTGTCATCATCGTCTGCATGCCTGGCGGAGACATCAGCTGCCACTACTGCTTGCCAGCCGCGACTTGCGAGAGCGCTGATTAAATGACACAACATAAGCTTTTACGTTTCCGTTTTTCTTTTGATTGATTTAACAGCGAAAGTTATATATCATCTACAATGTGTCTTGCTGCGCATATGTGCCTGTGGTAAAATCGTATGGATTGGCCACGAATTTTTACTCTCATTACTGCGGTCTAGTCTTTTGGGTGGAAATTAAAGATCATCAAAACAGATCATGAAGCTTCCTTTGATCCATTAAAAATGCCCGGCAATTCAATAACACCGAACAATCTGGGCTCAAACTAAATCTTATAGAAAATGTCAGGAAAATGTTTTACCACGAAACAGATAAAGTTCATTCGGGTTCGAACCAATTAAATAGGGAGACATGTATTGTAAGTACAAAATACTATTGGACGGGGGTTGCATACCTTCATGATGTCGTCTGATGTGTTGGTCAGCCAAAGATTGTTATCACCATTGACGCTCAGACAGAAAACTGAGGCTTGTTTCGACTGGGACTGTCTAAAAAGCAGAGAGCTCTTATCGGACATCTTCTTGGAGCTGTCAATTGCAGCAACAAGGCCCCACCCAAAAGGTAGGAGGGCTTCCATCACTTTAATGACCAGAAGTTTGGATTTTACTCCTTTGCTTCCAGAAGCACACCATGGGCTTCCTCGTAGCTTAAACTGCCAACTATCTGCGTAACGGGATTCTTCCTCAATGCCTTTTGGCCAAACAGACCGGATGGTACTTCGGATGACGGAAACGAAATCGTCGGGAGCACCGATGACCCTCAGTAAGTCGGAACTGTTGAAGCTGATCGTGAACTGCTCCGGAGGCGACTGCCCTTCTGGTATTAAGTTTGGATGGTAATCAAAGAAAAAGGTGTTGCTGTCACTTCGGATGTTGGAATTTCCATATAAATTCCATTGTTTCGGTATCAGATCACTTATAATTGTCTGCAACATCGCTTCTGAATGAACCGCGTCTGCGCTCTCTGAAAACCATGGAAAGCCTTTTAACTTAATCATCAGTACATTATTCTTGTGAGTCCATTTCTGTATTCCATTCGGCCATGATTTTTCTATGGCATCTTTAAAGACTTGGTGGAGCTCACTTGGCGCATTGAGTATCATTAAACTGTCAAAACCACTCAACCCAATAACAACAAATGGCTGTTCTTGTTCTTTCCTTTCTCTTTGACTGCTCTGTAAACAGCATCTAAACCACCGAAACTTGCGGGTTGACTTGGGTCGAGGTAGATGCTGGTCAGTGCTTTCTCCATCACAGAACTCGGAATTTTGTACAATCACTTGACCCCCGCAACAGGCTAATACGCAACGAATGCGGTTGAAAATACGCTCTAATACCAGAGAGGGTGAAGATGGCCAGCAACCCATTACTAGTGATTGCTATGAAGGTTCAAAGCTGAATGATTTCTTTTTTCTTGCTGTTTACTTATATAGCTACCCTCGAATCTGGGTGAGAGTGGGCACGAGAAATTTAAATAATAGTTCCCATTCCTCCTCGGTTAATTCTAGCTGATCCGCGAAGTTCAAAAATACCACCAATCGTCCCCAGTTCACTTTTGTAAAGACCTCAGAGTGGAGTTTTTTCAACTTTTCTAGACTCGAGCCCGGCATATCTTTAACTTTTTGTTGAAGCATTTCCATTTCACTTGAAGACACTTTCAACGTTTTGGTTTGTGCGCGATACAGAGAAAAGTTGACTCGAAGCAAAGACAGAGAAAGCCCCATCTTGACAAAGACAGAGACAAACACACACTGACTCACAATTTAGATATAAACAAATTTTATTACTTTTAGAAACAAAGCTTATTTTGAATGTCATTAATTATCAAGTCAAGGTCCATTGGTTGTTCATCTTTCCTCACAACTCTCTCAGGGCATTGCACTTCAACTTGGCTGTCAATTTCCACAGCACTGGGATCTTTGCACTTCATTCCACAGGGTCCGTAGTAAATAGCATGCAGAATTCGATCTTCTAACTCACCATAATCTTCGAGTTCCAAGGAAGTGAGATAGATGTTAGTCCAAGGCAGCTTTGGTAATTCGGTCACGTACGCTTCCCACGTTTTGCCAAGTTTGAAACCAAGAGCACTGCACACACTTTCAGCCGTTTTTAAGATAACATTGAGGTCACTTCATCATGGTAATACATCCATGCGTCATCATTATCCATCACCAGGCAAGAATGTTGGTTTTGACTTGGGTGTTGAATAGCACAACCGTGGCAGCGATTCAGCTTTTGTTCTTGGATGAGTTTGTCAACCGTAGCCGCATAAGTCAGTTGGAACACATGACCGATAAGGCTAGCTACCCGTTGACGTTGGACTTTTTCCACTTCATCTACTGTCAGAAGCGGTGTAGCGCTCGATTCGACTTGCATGTTTGGAGTAATGTTTTAAAAA